GATCAGGTTCACTTGAATACAGACTACATCCAAGTAACTAAGTACACTAAGAATGCATTAAAATATAAAGGAATGAAATACAAATAAAATGTCAAATTAAAGTTTTATCTCCTGTCAGGCCGTCCATTGTTAGTTTATCAGAGAGTCTGAAACACTGCTGAAAGCCTGCAAATCTATTATTTTCATACAGGAACCCACAATAATAAGATAATGTGCATGTTTGATGGAACTGATGATTTAAAGTAACTTGTGGAGGGATTGGCATTGTGTGAGCCGGTGTCCTTTAACACGACTCAACTTTGAAGTAGTGTTTGTCAGAGTTGAAGTCCTTTTCCCATTAAGTGTCATTATCCATATCATTATCTCATTATTGTAATATTTCAATATGACAGAAATGCTGAAAATTAGCTAAATGTAATACTTCAGGGTGACATGTAAGAAACTTAAAGAGTTAGTTTTAACTTCACTTTACATCCTTGTCACTTTTGTGACCTTCCCCCTTTGTTTAGGTACAAATAATTTGACGTTTTATTTGTCTCACGTTGCTTTGAAGCTATGTAATATCTGATAAACTTCAACAGTTCAGTTTTTAACCTCTCATGAGGCAGTGGTGAAAGAAGTATTCACATCACTTACTTAAAGTACCAACATCATACTCCATAACAAGTAAAAGTCCTACATTCAAACTTTTACTTAAATAAAAGTATTTATTTTATCATAAAATGTACTTTAAGTACCAAAAGTAATACAGAGAAATAGTCTCTGTAGGTATCATTATTGATTATTATTACTCATTAATTATGGAGGTGGAACACGTTTTATATCAGGGTGTAACTAATGATAAAGGATTAATGTGCTGTTAATTTTCTTGATTAGATTTCTTGATCCATCAGTAGTTTAATTTGTAAAACAAAGCCTAAAGTGACATCTTCAAATGTTTTGTCCAACCAACAATCTAAACCTAAAAATTACTCAGTTTCCTGTAATTTAAGTTACACGTGAGAGGATGAAACCATAAAATGTTTACATGAACAAATGGGGTAAATGTCAACTAGGAACTGTCTGTCAGATAAATGTACTAAAGTATAAAGTACAATATTTCTTTCTGAAACATGGAGTATAAATATGAAGTGTAAAATAAAGTTACAAGACTTTACTCTTGTGTTGATTTGGCCTTTCAAGGGTCATTCGAATGAATCCGACCAGGAATTAAGAATAACTATATAGAAATAGCCAATCTTCTCACTGATGGTCTTGTTTCTTTCTGTAGTTTAATTCAGTATTAAATGGAGACGGTTTCAGAACCAGTTAAAACCAGTAGTAGTAATTAATTTAAGTACAGTGCTTCATTAAATGTACTTAGTTACTTTCCACCACTGACATTAGAAATATGTATTTAAATGTGTGTGTTTATGTATTGTCTTATGTTTCTTTTATATCTAGTCTAAGATAATAAGCAGTTCATTGCATGGAAATAACCTCCTTTTGGATTATAGATAGTTATGTGAAATATAAACAATAATTATAAAACGATTCAAGTAACAAATAAAGTTATGTTTCAAACTTATGTATCTCTGACGTAGAGACATTTCGTCTGACTGTCCTGATTTTGTCTCCGACCATTAACTAGAACTCCTAATTACAGACATTATTCGTCATGATGAAGCATGTCTGGAGTTACAGCCTGAAATTGTGTCCAACGCAGAAGTGGAAACCCCAATCAGGTTGAACCCTCTCTGCTCTGTTCCAGGAAGTAATTAATTTGAACCTGGATGACAGTGGTTAATTAAATATTGAGGCAGCTTAAATGTCTGCACCGTCGCTTTGCTTTATCGGTCACTTCCTAAGATGACAGTCACTCTCTCACACACACACACACACACTTTTTCCTCCTCTTCCTTTATCTGTGGCTCCATCAGATAAACCCACGGCTGCAGTACATTGTGTTTTAGAAAATAAAATACTGCTCGTACAGCAAGTTTTCAAGAACATTTCAGCACAGAGTAGAACGCTGGTGATAGCTGGTGTGAATTCAGACAACTCGCACAGGTATTAGAGATTATGAAATACATCTATCAAAAGATAAATCCATAAAAAACCCTTTCAGCAGATCAATTTTGATATTCCAGAGGAGTCTTGGATTACACTGGCAGGCAATCTACTGTGAGGTTATAATCTGCTCCATCTGCGCTCTGCTGTCTCTGCCTCAGGCTGCTTTTATTCTTCATTCAAACAGGTTAAGAGCAAAGTCAGATTTTTCAGTTATTAATGGAAAATGAGGAAATGCCCTTTTTTTTATGGGAATAAAGGAGAGAAAAAAATAGAAGGATGGTTGGATGAAAAGGTAAAAGTTAACGAGAAGTTAACAAGATGAGAAGATACCAGTCTCATTTTGCTATATGCTGCTGTTAGCATTAAGTATGAAGTTATTTTAGCCTAACATAAAGACTGAAAACAGGGTACAACAGGGTATCCTGGCTCTGTCCTACCACCACCTCGACAAAGCTCACAAACTGACTTAACTTACTTTAGTACTAAAACACTAATACCACACATAAAAATACGCACATTGAACATTTTATTTAGGTAAAAGTATGTAAGTATAATCAGAACAATGAACTTGAAGTATTAAATGTAAAAAGCTGAAAAATGCCCCCTGTGACTCTATCACATAGATTATAGATAGATATACATTATAGATAGTTAGATTATTATTATTGATGCATTCATGTAAACAAAATTTTAAAAATAGATCAAAATAATTAAAAAGTAAAGCAGCAAATCCTCACAGTAAGTTGTAGTAAAAGTGACCTATTACCTAATTTATCAATCAACCCATTGATCCAGCTGTAACTTGTTTTGTAGTAAATAACTAAAGTTGTCAGATAAAGGTAGTATGGTGGGAAATAGGATATTTAGAAGTAGACGGCATTAAAAAAGGCTCAAGTACAGTACACATACCTCAGTATAGAGTAAATGTACTTAGTTTTATTACCCCACAGCTGATTAACGCGTTGAATCTTGTTTTTTGGTAAACTGACCTGTGGACCTCTGGGCCGGTTGCCTGGCAACAGGTCCTGACCATAAACCCACATACATCGTTACATCGTCCGTTTTACACTTCAGTTATTGAACAGGTTAAACAAAAGAGCTATAACATGATAATTAGTGAACTTTAGAGTACTAGTATGTATATTTTCTCACCTTTGGACAGAGCCAGCTTAGATATTTCCCCATAACCTCGTCTCTGTAGCCGTTAGCTTCATATTAACCATACAGACATGAGAGTGGGATGGTATCAATCTTATCATCTATTTATCTATATAACTATATAACTAATCTCTTAATCAGACTAACCAAAGAAAAAAGTGTGAAACATTTAAGATCTACTGGCAGAAATTCAATATAACATTCATATGTATATTTCCATTAGTGTGTAATCACCTGAAAATAACAATTCCTCATTCATATATACACACACAGGGGTCTGAATACTTTCCGTACCCACTGTATATATATATATATATATATATATATATATATATATATACATACATACACACACACACACACACTGGAGCTTAAATGAGACGCTCCTGTCACACTAGGTCATTATGATCTGTACAGTAGTGCAGGTCAGATGTGGCCGCCAGTCAGATTAAAGCTTTGTGAGGATTAAAACTGTCTGACTCCACACTACCAACTCAAACACAGTAAACATCAGCCAGCTGCAGGCAGGCAGACAGGCAGGCAGGCAGGCAGACAGGCAGACAGAGTGAGTTCTCTGAATATTCAGCAGCTTGATGCAGTTTTAGCTCAGTGACCTGCATGAGAACAGACCTGAAGCTCTGAAGCTGCCAGCAGCTCTGAGGACTTCAGTGAGGTAACTGTGAGTCGTACTCTCAACAGACACAATGAAGCACATTTGTCCTTGGTTCTGGGCTCTGGCCGTCCTGCAGGTATAAAGAGATTATCAGTGCGATGCTGAGTAACAGACTGCTGCTTGGAGAATCAAATGAATCCAGATCCATTTAGATTTGTTCAACTTTTCGTCCTTTTGGGAAAACTGACAAACGTCCACAGAATAAATGATTGCACAAATGTGACCTGACAGGTGAATATAATCTGCTCGCTTCCATGCAGGAAAAATAAATAGTAGAAGAGCACTACCTAGTGGCCACATCTGTTTACTGCTGCAACTCTCCACAATCTTCAGGTACTTAGGTAGTTTAAACTACCACTACCAACTACATATCGAGTTTAATATTGTGCTTTTTACTCCACTACATTTATTTAACATAGTTTATTTAAGAGATTAACAGTTAACATTAAGCAAACAACCTAATATGCTTATAAAAAGCATGTATGATATACATTGTTGAATGGTAAGTTTTCAGCTCTTTGTGGTTCCGGAGACATTTCCTCTTTAAACATCTAATTTGTTTTTATTTAGTTGTTTAGTTTAATAGTTGTGAAAGAGAGAAACACAAGAAACAGATTAAAATAAATCCAACACATACTGCCATGTGCCATAGTGCTGTGGTAGGTTAGTGCTGACAACCAACCTGTATATGGATACGTTTCCTCTGGGAATTAAAGACTATTGATTTGATTTGGTTGAATAACAAAGGGCAACTGATGTTAGGGTAAACAAATATAAATCTTCTGATACTGGAGTTGTTTTGGGTTGCTGTCCATAAAGATCAAGTGCCAAGAGAATTACTTTAAAATGAGGCCTTTCCCCAGCAGGCTTTAGTGTAGGAGGAAGTGTCTCAGAATGAGCGTTAAGGGTGACCATTAGGTTGGTTAGGGTCTTATGTGTGATCAAAGAGTCGGAGAGAAACAGGCTGAAAATAAAAGACATCAAAAAGTTCACTGGACTTTTCAGGCTTCACATTAAATCAGAATAATTACAAATGGAAACTCTTTGAAGAGCCACAGTGTGTCTTTCATCTGGAACTATGAGCAGCTTTTGTCCACAGACATCAGAAACAAAAAGGTTATTGGAAACAACTTGATTTATTTTGGACTGAATCAATGAATACAAAACATTTGGGGTTGTCTGACAGTGAGAAACCACAGGAAGTATTTACAAATGTGTTATCTACAAGAAGGAATGGGATACTTGAAATCTGCTTTCCCAAAATGGGCAAAAATAGAGAGACAGACACCAAAGTGGAGCGAACAAGTGCTGAAATTTACACCGGGGCTGTCTGGACTGCAACCAGCCGCTCTGAACTCGTCTTCAAAGGCAGAGTACTGAAGCTTCATTACATCACACAGATGGCACCATTCATATGCTGACTGTTGATAAGTTGACAACACCTCCTGCTGTGAATTTCATTAGACAGGAAGACATCAGTGATAACAGTGATTAGGGGACCACCATGAGATCACTTCAGCCCTTCAGTCACTCAGGACAAGTCCCAGTCGCCTGCTTTTTCTCTATTCTCCATTTTTGGGCGGTTATAAACAACTTAAGAAGCCTCTTCGTCGATTTTAGGTGCCAAGTAATATTTGACATGTCCCATATCAGCAATCTTGTACTCCACCACTGTAGAAACAAACAATGTCAGGTTAGAGTCACAGTGTCTAAACATGTTAAGAACCTGAATGAAGACATAGGATGAGCACAGACGCACTAACCGAGGGGGATGTCAGCGGACATGCTGAGGGTCACAGTCTTGGACAGCGGCGTGGCTTTGGTGAAGAAGTTCAGATAGTTGAGGGCAAAGATCAGCTGGACGGGTTCATTCATCTCAATAGTGACCTAAAGACAGACAGTGAAGGGCAAAGGTCAAACATTTTAGGTCACCAATAACCTTATTTTTGAGTAGCCAAAGTCGGTTTGTTTGTCCAAACCTGTAAAACATTCAGATTATGAGCTCAAAGACAAAAAAAAAAAAAAAAAAAAAAAAAAAGGGGCAAATGTATGAGTTAAGTTGCTGAAACTGATTAGGATTTAAGATTTGGCTTTCAATTTACTGTCAATCGAATTAACTAAACCTTGAATAACTGTTGGGTTTCAATTAACCATCTTAAATCACGGCTAAAGTGATTGACGGGTTAAAAACCTAAAATTATTCAGTCTGTGAACTACAACCAAAATACTGAATGTTTGAGGCAATGTTTGAGGTTTTAAAACAACTGGTCAATATATTTTGTAATCTATAACCATATCAGTGCTCCCTGGTGGACAAACTATGTAATAGCAACATCATATTTAAAAATATATTTGGTATTTCTGTACTGTAATTTATTTATTGGACAAAATAAAAGTTGGTACCACAATATAGGACAGATCATGTGGCTCGACCGTTACTGATTTTAACTTGGTCAACATTCACACTCACCGCCTCGTCCTCTTTGTCCACGTTGCTGGTCTGGGACAGCTTGACGTTTCCTGTACCCAGCTCTCCTGTGGCGGAGAACTTGACTCCGTCCTTGGCGCAGGAGATCATGACGGCGTCACCGATCTGGGACAGGTCGCGGCAGATGCGGGCAAACTCCCCAGAGGGCATCTTCACCACACAGCTGTACTCCTGCTCCTGGACAGAGACAGACGGGTAAAGGTCAGGAACAGTGTGCACGAGACCGTACGTTGGACCCAAAAGACAAAGTCACAGATTACTTACTGGAATTCCCAGCTGCTCCACATCCAGGTCCATCAGTTTCATCTCATAGTCTGACACCTTCTCCTGGTCTGTGAGCGTAGGAGAGGAGAGGTCAGTACATTAGAAAACAACAACACAGCATCTGTCACGTCTATTCCCTGCTGCTTTTACACAAATAACTTAAAAACTTACTGAGTGTCTCAAACACCAGGGCGAGTGTGTCTGCATTGTCTTCTGCTCTGAGGGTGATGATGTCTTCGTTTCCTGCACACTTCAGGATTTTTGACATACTGTATGGGAAAAAAGAAAAACATTGTGGTTACAAACCACAAAAGTAAATGTCAAATTTACATAAAAAGTAATTTAGAATACACCGAAATTAAACAGCTTAAAAGAAAAGGAATAACCATTTAAATGATGGATTAGTAGTTATGCAAGTCTGCAATTCCAATAGTAAATGTTAGTATGTGCCATTTTATTGTTTTATATATTTCATATTAAATTGAGCTTTAATATCTTTTGGTATTAGACTGTTGTCAGGGCAACAGCAATTAATGAAATGAAAAAGTATGTGACATTGAGCTTTAGCAGTCAGGCACAGACCTTAATAAAGAGACTCAAATAGCTAAATGTCTTATTAATTATTAATTTCTGCCCATGGACTAATCAATTTATTCATAGTTTTGACCCAAATTTAGTGTCTTATATACATTTTAATACTAGATTTCTTTGCTAAAACGTTTTACAACAAATTTTAAACTTAATGTTTTATCATAATATATAAACTTATATGTATATATATATATATATATATATATATATATATATACTATATATATATATATATATATATATACATACTCAAACATTAAACTAAAAGTCCCATTACAGCTCAATGAGTACTCAGTGTACCGGTGTACAAAGAGAGGCGGCAGTGAAACGGAAGTGGAAGTTCCCGGGTTAAACAACAATTCCCGCCAACCCTCCCTGCGGAGAATTTGGCGCTCAAATGACGTCGCTACGTAACGTCACAATGTCGCTGCTGTCAAAAAAAAAAAACCTGCACCAACCGTAATTTAAACTTTAAAAAAACATTAAGTTGTACTTTTAACAGACTTTTATATTTCAATAAAACATGTAGACAACCGGCAGACAGTGAAGAGTTAACACACACAGAGAGAGAGAGAGAGAGAGAGAGAGAGAGAGAGAGAGAGAGAGAGAGAGAGAGAGAGAGAGAGAGAGAGAGACAAAAAAAACATGCCCGGGCAATTCCGCCAAGATGGCCCCGATATTACACAAGCTACTAACTTTATGCTAACAAAAGATGTTAGAGGATGGTGATGAGCATGAAACCGCCTTCAGTATTTTAGTATAGCAGTATTTATAAAGTATTTATAAAGTATTTATAAAGTATTTCCACATCGACTTTAGCTGCGGTCAAACTCAACCTGTCAAACTAGCTGCGTTAGTCAGCAGCTCTTCATCCCTCTGCGAGCCAACACAACCCAACAACACAAATGTCAAATAAATAAAAGGCTGTCGTGTTTTTGTTCTTCTACTCCACCTGCTGAGGTTGACTCCCATGGCGAGGTTTCTGTCGCAGCGGTACGAGTCGAAGCCGTCGTGCCTTAGGGTGAGCTGGACCAGGGAGACGTGAGAGGAGTCCATGCTCTGCAGGGAGATACCGGACGAGCTGACGTCCCAGCAGGCTTCAGTGATCAGATCCTTCAGAGCCTCCAGCACCTTCTTCAGGATGGACCCCTGCACCAGGCGAGCCTCAAACATGGTTGCTATGGAGGTTGTAAGTCTGCGTAGTAACGAAGAGGTTGGTTTGTGTTTGTGTGTGTGTGTGTGTCGCCTTTTCGCGTTAGTCCCGTTAAAAAGGAGGCTGCAGTTTGAGTTATAACCGAGAAGGAGAAGGAGAGAGTCTGCCTCTGGAAGTTGAGTCTTTGTTGTTAGCTAGCAACCGAGCAGCACGCAGACGTCACTCTCAACGGAGACGGAGGGTTTGAGCTGTAAGCGCGCGCTAATGTCGGGTTTTAATGACTCGGCGCCTTTGCGTCATTTCCGCATCCTTGTCGGCACGTCCCAACTGCACAGTGGGCGCTGACGGCGGCCATATTGGAGAGGGCAATTCTCCAACTACAGTAAGAAAAACCTAAATATAACAGAATATACTCAGCAATACACAACATACACAAAATAATAATATACAGTGAATTAAGAAACAAATAAATACAAAATACAATTATAAAACACTAAAATGATCAAATAAACATGTTTAAGTTAAGTGTAATAGTACAGAGAAAGTTCACATTAATTGTGTTTTTATTTTTTTTATTTCGGGGGATTTGAGACAAATGTATATATATTAAATTCATGTAAGAAAAGAGCAACTGAGGAACACCTGCTGTTTCATTTGTAACAATAGATGTGGTATTTACTGATTATTAAAATTATATGAATTGTATTATATTGTTAGGGTAATAAAGGACAAACTACTATTGTTCACATTGCCCCCCTTAAAGAAAAAATTAAGACACTTTTGAAAGACCCAGTTACAAACTTGTAACTTTTAATGCCTTTCCAACTACTCGACAGGAGAGAAAATGCTAAAACGAGCCAAAATAAAGCACCTTGCTGAATACTATGTATAGATGTATATATAACGTATGAGTGTTATATATGTTGGGATACATGTAGAGGCATGATGCAAACGTGAGATGTCCACTGCATCTACCTCATCTGCATGTTTTGCAACACAAGCAGGCTGTAAAAACACAAGTTCCTTGTTCCCCCCCCCCGCAGGCCACAATATTTCCTCTTCTTCCCCCTGTAATAATTCATGTGTGCAAAAATAACTGTACAAAAGGACACAGTGACCTTTCAAAATTAAAGTTTGTTTTATTGATCAATGAGTGCTTGATCTGACTCACACACAGCGTCACTAAACACACAATCATGTCCCCAGTTTGTTGCACAGACACACATATAAACAGATGGTATTTCAATACTATTTCACCCCTGAGTATATATTGATTCAGGCCACTAAAGAACAGGGTCATTTGACACACTTGGCGAATGTCACAAGATCTTATAAAAGAGCAGAAAAACTTCCTTGCAGGAAACCAATCTGAGGTGTTCAGGAATGTCAGACAAGAAAAAAAATGCATCTTGTGTTGGATGGTTATAAATTTGTGCTGGGATTGAGTGCAGTGACTGTAGTTTTTTTTTTTTTATACTAGGGTATCTATTTAGAGACCATCAGGCAGAATGTAGTTGGTTGCCATGGCGAGGATGGGGGCTCCTGTTGGGACCCCGGGGAAAGGACCACTGGACCCAGCGATGTCAATGTGGGAGTATGGCAGAGGCGCATCAGAATCCACACCATGCTGCGTTTGAAATTAAATAATACAAGTTAATGACTTCTTCCATATTATAATGTTCACACTTACAGATAAATAATATTCCGAGCACCTTGTCGAGCCCTGAGGCCATGATGAGGAAAGCCGCAGGGGTCTGATGTCCTCGAGGTGTGGCCGAGGACGGCAGGTTGTTGCACTGCAGAATATCCTCGTACTCGGACTTGCCCTTGTGGAACTCGTAGTCCTCCCGTCTGATACTGGACACCTCGAACACGTCACCCAACACCTCTCCAGCTGCATGGAAGAGGAGGAAGACCATGTGTTAGTTGGTGATAAGGGGAAATAAAGCTTTGTAAAGCACTGAACTACTATGAAGCAACTGTACTTGAAATGGTTCACTGTTTCGATGTATCTGATAGTCAAAATGGCGACATCTGCTGGTCAGCCCATGGTATTACATTTGTAAGGAGGGATTAATATTAAGTATGAGTGGTCTCACTGCTCTTACTATTATTATATACTAATTATTATTGATAACATTTAAACAAACTATATAACTTTAAACACCTGACAACATCAGCTAATAAAAAAAAGTAAAAAGTCATGACAAATGAATATAACAAGATACTAAATTACCAGAAATTATTCCTGATTTGACCAACAAAACACATTCAGTTTATGATATTAAACAGAAAAAAACATGAAAGTCTTTGCACTGGGGAAAAAGTTACAAATGTCTGATTATCATTTTGTCGTTAATACAAAAACATACCACCATACCAACAAAAAAAAAAAGTCAATTAATGGATTAAATTATTATTCAGCTCTTGTTCAAATAAATGCTGGACTCTTAATGTATCCATACAAAACCATCTTTACTAGCTTTTTTTCTGGAGCTTTTAACTGCATCTCAGATGGCGTTTGCTCAGTTGTCATGGAGATGGCTCAGGAGACCCCTACATACATTAGCTGATGAAGGCTGTGAGTTGCAGTCAAAAGCTCTAGAAAAGCCTAGTAAGTGGAAATTACTGTTCATGGTCAAATTATCCACATAGTCGTCTCACCTTTTTGCCACTGAGCAGCATTTTCACTGCGGTGGGCGGGTCCATTATCCATGATGATCTACGAAGAGAAATGAGTGTTATAACTGTAAGTCCATTACTATTTTAGTTTTTAAATGTTTAATATCTCTCAGGGAGTGGCAGCACTGTCTGTGTTTGAGCAGTACTCACAGAGTAGTTTGGTCCCATGGCCCTGATAGCATGACCCGTCAGAGTAGCGATAGTAAACAGCTGAGGAGAAGTCTCACGTACCGCCTGCAGACACAGATCACATGATCAGAATGAGAGGGGATGCACGTGCAGAAGAGGGGTTAAGATGTATAAATGAGTTAAGATGTTTTTATAAACATGATGTTGTGACCTTCTCCTTCATCTCACAGAGCAGGTCGACCATCACCATACGTCCCTCAGCGTCTGTGTTTCCCACTCTCACTCTGCGACCCGCACGGGAAACCATCAGTTCATCGGCCACGTAGCAGTCTGACAAACCACACACACGTTAACACAGACGCTTGGTGCAATGTGACACAGATCCAACCGAGAGAAATGTAAACAGGAATATTAATGAGGGAAACGTAGATTACACCGACCTGCACCGACACTGTTCCTCACCATGGCCATGGAGCCGATGACCTTCAGATGTGCTGGCCTCAGCTTGGCTAAAATCTAGAGAGCAAGAGAGGCGTTAGGGAGGGAGCAGTGCTGGAATATTAAAACAAAGGCAGGAAACGTCACGCTTCACTATCTATGGTAATGGGAAGGAAAGGAAAATATTCATCCCTTTAATCGTGACTCAGCTGCTTCTAGGACTGAGTCATGTAGTGTTGTTTTCAAGCAAAGTCACAAGTGCTGAATATTTCGTCCACGTCCCGAGGTTTGGACTCCCGGAGGGTTAATTAATAGGTCATTCACCTGGAAGAAACCAGCCACAGCAGCAGCTCCACACTTGTCCCTGTGCATCCCAGCCATGAAACCACCAGCCTTGATGTCTGCTCCACCAGTGTCGTAGGTGATGCCCTGAAAACATCACGTGAGAAACAACCTCTGTTTATTAAGCAGTCAGTCACACACAGATACAGATACAGATATAATGCATACTGTACAAAGCTGGCGGTCCTCTGTAGAAGAGGTTAGATAAATAAAAACAGCTTATTCTAAGGTAACAAAAACACAAAGAAAACTCTGCCTCATCTTTAACTCTTTTAAAAGCCCTAATCCTGTTTTTTCAGGCTTTTCTTTGATTTTCATTTATGTTTTATGACAATAGACAATATGTTTGTACTCTCTTTGTCTTTCAGCTCATTTTGTCACTTTGTAACTTTGTTTTGAAAGGTGCTACATAACTAAGGATTAATTTATGCCAACAGATCTTTAATTGTTGTACGGTATTAATTTTTCTCTTAAAGCCTTGGTCAAATAAGATATTTGGTGAACAGGTGTTGTTCTATGTACTCGTGTTTTAAAAAGGGTACACGTTATGTTGAAGACTTAATATTTATTTGGGGACAATTTTTTCCTTTCCTCTCACCTTTCCCACCAACATGAGTGTCTTTTGGATCGGTCCCTCTCCACAGTACTGCAACTTGATAACTCTGGCCTGGTGACGAGGGACGCCTGTATGAGGATGGAAAATAAGAATAATATACATGCATCTTTTAAACGAAAATCAACATTGAACAGTTGTGATAATGAGTAAGTGATAAAACATTATGTTCTCCTACTGTTGGCACAGCGGTTGACTGCAGCCAGACAGGGATACTCTTTCTCCAGAACCTTCAGGTCGCTCACCACTTCCACCTAAAGGTTCATCAACACAGACACGTTCTTATGTTTGACGCCAGACAAAGTGCTTAGTTGCCATTTTCCTGAATCTTATGAAGAAGGAATAAGATTGTTGACTTTCTCCTAACAAGAAACAACAGGACTACCTGCACAGGGCTGTCCCTGAAGAGTTCCTGGACGTAATCAGCCACACGAGGAGCAGCCATACGTTCAGGGTCTGAGCCACCGATGTCACGACACGCCAGTCTGAGGAGGGGAAACAGAGCAGCTGGTTGAATGAGGGAACGACAACATGAGAAATCTTAGCAGTGAATGGAGGTGAAATATCTGACCCACCTGCCACTCTCCAGGGCGTCGGCTAGCTTCACCAGTTTCTGTCCCTCTGCCTTCTGTGCTGCCCACAGCCCCAGAACACACACCTTGTGCTCGCTGGGTTTTATATTCCCCTCCCTCACTTCCAGAGGCTTTTGTGGGATAAAAAAAACAAACATAACAGTTGAGTTATGCAACAGAGTTGAGAAAAAAAAGCCCATTTGTGTTCAAGTACTTTAACTGGACTTCATCCAAGTGGTTTGGCATAGAAAACCCCCTGTAGTCTCTGAGTCATTTTATATGCATATTACTAAACTGATCACTTCACTGTGGCCAAGAACTACATACCTTGACCTCCTTCTAATGGTTTTTTTAATAATGTATCATCATCTGTGCTTAAGGAAGGTACTTATTATTGCACTTTTGCACCATAAAGTTGGGTGCTCTGATTTTAAAAAGAATGGTTGAAAAATGTATACAGGAGACACTCGATCCCAGACTTCCCATAATGTAACCAATAGCATATTTTAATTAGACTGTTCAATGCCCACATCCTTTAAACTCCACACAACAGAACACATTATATAACCGTGTGCAATGTATTAGTAAAGTTGTACATCACATGACTAGTAAACAGAAAACAAACAGACTAAGAACAAAGAGTTCCCCTTTAAAAATTGTCCATTGGTAGGTGGATCATAAGACAGAAAAGAGCCTTTATGTAGGCCCTGCGTGAGTGTTTTCTCACCATGTATAAAGCCTGAAGGGCCCCGAGTGCAGCCACCAAGGTGCTGTTGTTATAGTCCCTGTGTGGAGGACAGACCAGCAGGGGACGCTGCATGCCTGCTTTCAAGGCCCTGAAAAGAAACACAGAGAGTTAGAGGGAAACCAGCAGAGCGAGACGCTAAGGCAGGAAAGAATAAATAAATCAGCTGCCATCAACTGACCGTTTGATGCCGTTGAGGGCAGCGTCACTGAAGCGCCTGACATCATCGTAATCGCGGTTCACCGGGCCGGTGGAGGCAAACACCAGGCGGTTACCAGGGAGACCAGGGACCTTTAAGACCACTACCTCATCCCCCAGACCGCTGTCCACCTATAGTGAGAGTAGATGAGGGAGAGTAACACCACAGTGTCACAGGAGAACACGTTACACCACCTGTTGGTGATCAGCTGTAATACCAGGTTGATTTGGAAGTGAACGTCACAACTCAGGCCTGAAGGGAGGAAATAATCCAGTTTATTTATTTAAGTCAATATAACTTTCTGCATGTAAATGCATTTTCTAAATCTAACACGAGTTCACACAGGGTTAAATATTAGCACCTATCTCTCAATTTTGATTTGGTTTAATATAGTAAGATTTAAGACTGATTAATCCCCATATTGCATTAATATAAAAAGCACTTCTCAGAATATATAGTTCCAACTTAAGTTTCTTTTTTATATCTGTAATAACTTAACATGTTTTACACATTGTGTGTCACTGACAGAACCATTTATTTATTTATTTACTGCAAACGTACACATTTACTCTAAGAAAGGACACAGATGCAAAGGTCACTCTGGGGATTCATCCTAAAATGTGTTTTTTCCAGTGAGAGAACATTGTGTTTTATTCTCAATTATCTGCAGTAATCTGTGTTTGGTGTGTAAGTTTCTGCAGTCTGGATGTGATACAGACGAAGAACAGGTGAGAAAAGGGTTGTGAAGTTACAGACTTACAGAGCTGTAGTCCTGCAGTGGTTCTTTCAGACACTCGAGCTCAGTGGGCAGCGTGTCGTGGCTCTGGGTCACCAACACGATGCCATCGAAACTACAAAAAAAAACACAATATCATCATTCAGATGCACAAAAATAACTAACCAACACCCTGGCAGCTAAAGAGGAAGCGCTGCATTTCTCCCAGTACTCACTTCTGGTTCTTGATGTCGGCGGTCCATTCAACAGGCTGGACGCTGGACAGAAAAACACACAAATACACAGAGTTATTTCCTCTTGAATCTGCAGTGTCAGCATTGTCTGACATGGAAAAGCAGAGATATCTCACGCAGAGGGACACAATCAGTCTTGTGTGTGGTTTTTATAATGCAGGTTAATGATAACAGAGTGTGGAAACCAACAAGACCTTTGAGATCTGCTTAATTTGAGCTGTTAAACAAGAGTGTGGCAGGTTGACTTCTTGTCTCACTGCAGTGAAATCAAAACTTTCAACCCAGTGTGCACTTCAGGGTGGATGATAATGTTATAAATCTGTTAACTAATCCTTTTTCTGGGGTCATATGACACTTAAAGTACTGCTATTAAAGTATAGTGAGACTGAAAGTGAAACATAAGCATTAAAAACCGACTGCGTGGGCCCTTTTAGTGGAAACTGTATCCAGACAAAATCAGACTCTTCCACTCTGAGCTGCGGATTAATAAACAAATAAAACATTTAATTAACATTTAGCTAACTATCACAGGTAAATTAAACGTCTTAATTAAACAATCTGAAGAAAACACGACCTTACACAGCTGAAGGGGGGAGAAACTATCTCCTATTTAACAACAATCAGCTGATCCATTCATGGACGGAGCAGCTGCACTTGAGACAACCGTTAATTTAAACCGAAGATCGGGCGGTTGGAAGCAGCCATTAGTTTTCGTTAGTCTCACCTGGTGCACATCGTGGTCCTCCTCTTCCTCTGCTGCGTTCAGGGTGAAAGAGACAGCTGACAGCCGACGGATCCTTCCCTTCACTCCTCTCCGGCTGATCACATGATCCGATAAGTTGTACCCGTGCTGCCTTTGCGTGGCTTCTCGTAGCTCGTAATCGCGAACATCACGAGTCGTTAATTTTTTTTTTTTTTTTAATAGCGTGTTTTCTGTTATTTAAGCTTTTTGGGTGTTAAAATTTACCCCGAAAATATGATATTTGGTGTCAGTCGATGTAGTTAAAGTGTGTAATATGACCTAGGTTATCACACAAAGAAAGACATATTTTACGGTAATCAGCTATAGTTGTATTAGTAAGTAACCGAAAGTTCTGACTGTACGCGAAGGCGCATTTAAGGATGCAGTAGGGAATTGTAGTTTCCACAATTAATTCAACAAACGCGAAAAGCAGCATTAAAATAATATTATGACAAACATGTAAATTATTGCTCGATATTATATAATATATACAACCGTTTTTACACAGTTAATCGATTAATCTCGCTTCTGACAGGGCTGACCTACTCGAACTACAAACACTAACCGGAAGTAGTTGACAGTAGTGTTTTTCTGTGCAAAACCAGAGAGGTGAGTGTTAACCAGAGACAGTACAAAGGGCATGAAATAAAGTAGTAGCTGTCCCGGTTATTCAGTAGCAGGTTACAGAGTCACAACCACAGGTCGAGCTGCTGCAGGTAGGCACAAGTTCCCCGCTTCTTATCGTGGTTGTCATTTACAGCTCTTCTATCAAGGGACAGCACATCAGAGCTGCTCACATAATGTGTACTTTGGCACTTCTCATCTCGACTAACTAGTTTGGCTGCTGCTCATTTTGTTCTCACTGTTTATTGGTATCGACAGTTTTAGACTTTATGTGAGTGAGGAGGAGTTGATGGATCTTTTGTGTAAACTCTAATAAAAGTTTTGAGCTGTCCAAAGAAATCCCAGTGTGGTACAGAGTGATAGAAACTGGAATCACTAATTGATTACTCATTTTTCAAGGAAAAACCCTGCTTTGCTCTATATATTAAACAACTTTTTAACTACTACTACAACAACTACTTTTAGTTGGACAAACACGTCAAGTTTCTGGAACTATTTTATGACATCTAACAGACTAACAATTAATTGATTAATGGAAAAATGGAATAATAAATGGAGGTTGAGATTTGTGTGTGTGTGTGTGTGTGTGTGTGCTACAATCTGAAGGATGAAGGAATTCACAATAAACCAAAAGAAGAAGAAATCAGATTGTGTTTGATTTATATTTTCTCTCGTCTGCCATCTGTTCTCCTTCCTCGCCTCCTCACATCTTTCTCCTCTTTTGTCCCTCCGACAGATGAGACTTCCTCTTCACTCCTTTTGCGTCTTCAGGAGTTTATTCTCTCAAAGGCAGACGACAAACCCACAGCAGCGAGCCTTGAGCGGTGCAGCGATGCGTCTGGTGCAGTTTCATCGTCACGGTGACGTAGGGAGCATCAGGGTGGGAGTGGAGCACGGCGAGGGGCTCGGCGTGGTGGATCTGAAGGCGTTTGACCCCTCCATGCCCTCGACAATGAGAGAGCTGCTGGAGATGGGAGACGAGGGTCTGGAGCGTGCACAAAGGTTTGACTCCTGAATCACTGTCTCCTTCCCTAACTGATATTCTTCCTCCTCATTATCTCCTGAATAAATCCTCTTCATTGTTACCATCATCTTCTTCAATCTCGTTCCTACATGAACATCCTCTTAATTATTAGTTCTAATTCCTGAATCTTCCTCTTCTTCCCACATCCTCTCTTCGTTCCTACAACTTTACCCTCATCATCATCCTTCCCCTTCATGTTCAGGGTCATGTTCTTGTTGACTCCTCTTCCTCCTCTTCTTCCTCAGGGCCTTGTCGTCCGGTCAGTGCGTGGTGGAGCGCTCAGACATCCAGCTGCTGTCTCCCGTGTTGGCCCCAGAGAAGGTGGTGTGCGTGGGTATGAACTACCGGGACCACTGCCTGGAGCAGAACGCCCCGATCCCCAAAGAGCCGATAATCTTCAGCAAATTCCCCAACGCCATCACAGGCCCGTACGATGACATCATCCTGCCCTCAGAGAGCCAGGTGAGAGCGAGCACCAACACTTAACACTCAGAGTGCTTTAAAAGATAGAGCTGGTGTATTGTGGGATCTATGTTTCTGCAAAGTTCTCTAGTTCAACATAAAGCTGGACTGAACCAGAGATTTTACAGATTTAGGTTGAGATCGCAAATAATCCTAAAATCGACTTTGATGAAGACGTACTTGAAACGTATTCAATCATTCAAAGTTTGTTTCCCCCTTTCCGTGTGCTCCAGTATACTTTGGTATTTAACTCTGAAGCCTCCAAATACCAAGATTGTTTCCACTGGTTTAACTTTTTAACAAGCAGGTAAATACAAATTTTAATTATTGTGTAAAACAGAATCTGGGCAAATTAAAGGAATTAGTTTTAGTTAAGTTGTAGAACATTTTTAGATAAACACCTAATTCAGTGTAAATTTTAGTACTATGTACAAGTGTATAGTACTAAAACTGTATTATATACAACTCCATAGGAGATGAGATCATTTTGTCTCTTGAGCACATCTTATTTCTTGTCTTCTTAATGTTCAAGAATATTCCTGAAATAAGTTAAACAAGGAGTTTTTACCTGGTATGAAACAGACTCAGTTTAGTAGTGATGTCTCTATCTGACCTTCATAAACACACAGAACCACCAGTTTCTATGTAGTTATTCTTAATGCCTTCCTACAGGTTGGATTCCCCTTGAAATCAATGAAACAAGGTGGTGGAAACACTACTGCTTTTTGTCCACAGGGGTCGCCAGATCCAACACAAAAAAGTCCCTCTTAGGTCAGCCGTCTCAAACTCCAATTAGCTAGGGGCCACTGCTCAAGGAAGTGCTTCTAAAAAATATTTCCATTACTGATATAAACCTTTAAAAAGACGCAAACAGCCGTTTCTCTACGTTTTTATATAATCTTTGTTGTTTCGCAGCCAAACAACGAATGAAGGCCTGAAACCTGCTCTCGTCTTATCAACCGTACACTCTCATCCAGCATTATATCTTTATTATTCTTACTTTATACTAAAATAGAATTGTGGTTTTATTTTAATTGTATATGAAGAGATAGTTTAAATTGATATGAAACAACTACTAAAAAATAAATATATAACATTAAATCTAATGATTATATTATGTAGGCTGCAGGGAGGGGGTGGAGGGCTGTAAATGGCCCCCGGGTCGGCAGTTTTAGTTCCCCGTTGTAGGGCCTTTAATTTTCCACATAATAAAATCCAATCACTTCACTCCCACTTAAAGATTTATTGTACAAGATGTTTTTTTTTTCCTAGTACAACAAGACAAATCAATGTTAGTGTCTCCTCGGGTTTTGCAGATGTTAAAGAGAACAAATACAAAGTCTACTGTGTGTATACAGTATGTATGTATTTATTTTGATATATATTGATCTATATTTATTGTATAAATAAATAGATTTTTCAGTATATGAACATGGTGCTGGAGAAAGAGTGAGTGTATTTATATATATATATATATTTAACTGTCAGACAGACAGAATTAGTGTGCAGTTTGTAACAGGGACACTGTTTCTGCTTCTTGATGCCGTATTTGCTTTCTTGTTTTGTCTGAGTGAAGGAGGTGGACTGGGAAGTGGAGTTGGCCTTTGTGATCGGACGAAGAGGAAAACACATCAAGGTGAGCGTCACAGAATCACCTCTGATGGCCCTGACACTTTGATGCTCTGGTGCAGCTTCTACTCCGACTCCATTTCCTCTTGTTGTTCAGGAGGAAGATGCTCTCTCCTACGTGGCCGGCTTTACTGTGGCCAACGACGTCAGCGCACGTGACTGGCAGATGAAGCGCAACGGGAAGCAGTGGCTGCTGGGAAAAACGTTCGACAGCTTCTGTCCCCTCGGCCCTGCGTTAGTAACCACAGGCGCCGTGAAAGGTGAGACGCCACAGAAAGGGAGAGTGAGACAGAAAGGGGGGAATTAAAGACAATTTGGTGAATCACGTAATTATCTGTGATTTTGTTCGTCAGAGTTAACAAGCTCTTTTAAAAGAGTAATTTATTTAGCTGATTAGAGCTGTGTGATAATTAATATCAGTGAAAACACTCCTGATCAATGTGGATTATTATATTCATGGTACAATCTTAGTCAAGGATACAGATCTTCAGACTCACCATGAGGTTTACAATAACCCTCAATCTAACTGCTGCTAATTGATAATAATTAAACAACTTTTAAAGATTGTTTTTGAATATATATATATATATATATTTATAGACTTATCTAGAGCCAGTGTTTGTTTTTATACGTTCTGGGCTGCTGTAGAAACATGACAGTTCAACATGGTGGACTCTCTGGAAAGGACCCGCTACCTCTGTAGATAAAAACAGTTCATTATAAGGGAACGAAAACACAGGTGATTAAACACTAAAGAAAACACACCTATCTTCAGTTTCTGCCCATAGATCTTCCTAAATGTTACACACTGGACCTTTAATGTTTGACAGGAAATCAAGGTAACGAGTATCATTACATATTTGTCCTATGTGGCTTTATAACAAACAAAAGAGTTAATGGATTACTCCTAGCACTGTCATTTGAAACATTATTCAACACTATTAATATCAAAAAGTTAATCAATCTAGCCAAGTTTATTAAAATAATCAATTATATAATACATTAATTTAAATTAATTAAGTTTTTGCTAAAATTGACCCTTTATGGCCCTTTATAAGACGACCATTAACAGACAGAGTGACAGTGGTTGTTACAGGTCTGATAGTGCTGACTTATCTCATTTGTAGTTTATAGATGTTACAACTCTAACTAAATTATAACTCCTATGGCAGGAAAGAACAAATATTCTTTTTAATTCAATGGTTTAGACTTTTCAAAACCTGCAGACACCCTGTTAATCATTCCCCCTTCAGATCCTCACAACCTGGATGTCCGCTGTCTGGTTAATGGAGACACAGTGCAGAGCAGCAACACTGATCAGATGATCTTCAAGACGGAGACGCTGGTCGCCTGGGTCTCAAAGTACGTCCATTCGGTACACTTCTGCTCGTGATGAATGTGTCTTTGCTTCACGGGAAGATATTGCTAAGAGTTTTAAATCCACACAGATTTTCATGATATATACGAAACTTAAACTTTTTCCTGCTTCAGTAACTCAAGCTGAGAGTGTAGAGTTTCCATTTAAGAAATTATGTAAATCAGATCGTGTCAGAATCCACAAGAGGATGATTGTGCGAGCAAATGGCCTCCGTTCATCACGGACGCTAAGCTGAAATTACATGCCTCCACTAAGACTTATCCACCACGGCTGGCACCCTTTTTCCCTGAAGCACCCTGATCTGATCTGAGATTCTTGGACAGAAAAGCCTCTCAGTCTCTCTCCTGACTTACTGCTGATGACTTTCACAGGATCTGTATACACAAATGAGCATAAAAAGCATACTGCATGACCACGAGAAAAAGAAACCCTCTCATTCCAAAGACAATAGTCAGCTGTGGTAATTTCAGTGCTACTGTATAATAGCACATGCTGCTCCCTGAATCTGGGCATCCACTGTGTGTCTTTTTTTACTCCTGTCAGGTTTGTGACATTAACTCCAGGAGACGTATTCCTGACAGGCACTCCTCCAGGTGTGGGTGTGTTCAGAAAGCCACCTGTTTTTCTCAAGGTAATTTCTTGGATGAAACTGCCAAAAAATGTAGAGCTGGTGTGAACCAGTTCTTGTGTCTGTAGCTGCACTTCAACTCCAACTTTACTTTATCCAAAAGAACCTAATGGCTGCAGATAATATACTATATGTATTCTGTTACAGTTAAAGGGACTTTGTGTCCATAACACAGTATCTTAACAGACAGTAAGAGAGAGTATTTAAAAAGGAGTAAAGGTGTATTTTAACTAACTTTTATTTATTTTTTTCCAGAAAGGAGATGTGGTGGAGTGCCAGATTGACCAATTAGGCTCTATAATCAACAAAGTGGTCTAATCCCTGAGACAGCCTGCAGAAAACACCAAGAATCTATGAAGGGCTGTCAGCTGTTAAATAAACTGCACTTCTAATCGACTGCTTCACACAATTAATAACTATTATCAGAAAGTTTGAGTTATGTTTCTAATAGACTGTGTGAAAACTGTAAACTCACGATGAATGTTTTATTCGGGGTACTACAGTAATTGAAAGGAAGGAAAACATGGTATTTTTACTACATGAAACGGTGTAATTACATGACTCAACGCAGTGATTTTGCAGCTCGACCTCGGTTATTGAGTCACTGTCATCACTAGCTGTAAAAATACCCTCCATCAGCAGCCACCCACTCCTGCTGTAGAGCAGAAACTGTGAACTTCCTGACAGTTTTGTTATATGTAAAAAAAATAAAACATGTTTGTAATTATGTTTAACATTCAGGATGATAAACTGATGAGTTTTCCCACTAACTTAGAGGATTCAACCACTTTTTCATGAGAAGTAAGCAGATTTCCAGTAATAGAATTGAATAAATTAAATGAGAAAATGTTGCTGTCTTCAGAAAGTGTCCCGTACATTGCCTGAGGAAGCTACTTTGATTCATGTACCTGCTTGCTTCATTTTCTTTTTGCTGAAATCACTGAAGTTGATTTTTTTTCACTGACAGCTGCAGAGAAACCCTCAGACTAAATGGACTCATTTACATTTTGCAGTAGTGTGATGAGGTGACTTGTTCATAATCATGTTTAACCAGCGAGTCACATAATAATCAGTGAAATAATTAGATTTTAAATTCAGTCATTTAGCAGATTATTTTATCCAAAGCAGGCAGCATTTTCCCCCTGAACACTTACACTACATGGGGAGTAATTTGGAGTTAACTGACAGATTAAAAACCTGCCTAGAATTAGTGGATTTAAAACCCAGGCTATACTGAGGCACGTGTGAAAAGCCTGTTAACAGTACACTCACTTAAACAATGGGTGGCAGTAGAGTTCTACGGTCAATGGGAGCCTATCAACGGCAGCTTTGATTTGTGGTCAAGCTGAAAGGAAAAACACAGCCGTGCTGACTCTTGACTGTAAAAACAGATGGTTGTAAACTCCAAAATATTAACGCCTGCCAGAAAAAGTTCTACGTCCCGTTCAAAGCGAGGCATCGATTTGTCTACACCTCAGAGTCAAAAGGTCTATGTCAAACAGACTCTCCTGAGATATGAGTCAGCACACAAAAGATCTACATTCAGGAGGAGAACGAGTTAGAGTGATGAGCTGTTTGGAAGAAATTATATCTAAAGAAATGAGCACACAATATACTACTGTAAAGCCTTTTTGTCTGTGAACCTATTCAAATGATATGTGTCAAGTTAATGATGAAGTAAGCACATTTGTTTATTGTCGGAATTAACATTTACACTTTCACTGATTGACTTGTGAGAAACTAGAACAAAGCAGAGCTCGGCTTAATGATCACGTTACAAACAAAACATCTGCGGCCTTCATCACAACGTAAACATGGTCGAAACACGAGGCGCAGCGAGTCCTCACAACTGATTACAGGGACTTCATAATCCTCGTCTCCTGTGGCTTTATGCTAATGCTATTACTAAAGATAAACTTAAAAATCAATGCCTCATCACCGAAAAATCAAAATGCAATTAACCTAAAGGCACGAGCGTCCCGGCTCAGCATGCATCTTTTTTTTTTTAAACACTGAACACAAGCTTGTGTGACACTAACAGAGGGATGAGGTCAGACTGCAACAAAACAAAGCCGAGTCACAGCCTCGAGTCGTGCTGCTCAGTTAAACACATTAATTGTAGAGGTACTGTGAGATGAAGCGGTGCAGTTTCTGCCTGTTTTCTGACAACTGGAACAAAGGACTGACACCCAGGAAGACGCCTCCTTTCTGATGCTCCTCCGAAAGGACCTGCAGTGAACATAAACACGGCACCGTCAGGACACTCGCAAACCACAATACTTTTTATTCTGTAACCTTCATTTGAGCATTGTGAGCTCATTCTTATCTTTAGCAGTGTGTTTTTTTTTGCAGAAGGCCAAATAAAAAAACAATGAATTGAAAACAGATAAAAACCTTTCAAAACAAAAACACCTCAAAAATGAAAAAGAAAAAACAAAGCTAAGGACGTTACATAAATAACATTGAACCACCTAATTCCATATACTCAGCAAGGTTTGAAATAATGAGGCTAAATAACAGAGCTGAGCTTCAGACTTCCTTTTGTTTTACAGTTACACTAGAAGCACATTCCCCCTCTTTGATTCCTGACCTGGAGATCTCAAAAATGAAGCCGTCTCGACATCAGGGAGTGGAATTAGCAGGATAACAACCACTTCTGACTGATAACCTTGATAAGAAAGTTAATAATTGCCTCATGAGATCTTTGCAGATATATAGGTCAATGATGCTCTATTTTTAAAAAGGCAACGATTCCCAACCCACAGACTGATAGAGGAGTCTGATGGGTGCAGATGCTACTTTATTGAGTCGAAAGACTGAGTGGTAAATTGAATAAAAATATTGATTTATATACTTATCGATTAAAAAAAACTACTTCAGAGTTTTGAGTGAGGGACTGTTTTGTCCATTTTTATGAGCACAATAGGAGTGTTTCTTTTCAGTTCATAGATTTTAAGTTGGTGCCAATCGGCCAGGTTGCCCTTCTCCTTTTCTATTATTCCTCATTGTTTGCAGAGTCAGTGCAGATGGCAATAATAGATTCTCATATTCCTATCAGCAAGACAAGCCATTTGCTGCCTTGCGTCTTGCAGTGTATGAAAAACAACCTCCACAGACTTGAAAATTGCTGCATCTTGATAATCCATCACAATAAACATGAAGCCTTTATCTGGCCTCATCAAAGTTTCTGTTTAATCCTCAGTTCATTGTGCCAGAGTGGAGTGTTTTAATATCAGGTCACCTCCCAACTAACAGGAAGTAAGGGAAATATGTCACTGAGGAATCCTAAAAAACAAAATCACCTCAGGAACATTTCCCTGCTTTATCTTACTTAGCACCAAAGTATTATCAACACAATGTACTGAATGGAACAGGTCAATACTTTGGGAAATACACTTTCTTGCAGAGAGGTAAATGAGAAGATCAATATCTTATCTTAAAGGTATGGTAAATACGAAGCTACAGCCAGCAGGACATTAGCTTAGCTTAGCATATAGACTGGAACCAGCTAGCAGCAGAAAAACATACCCATCAGAACCTTAAAAGCTCTGTTGTTTGTGTGTTATATCTCTCATATCTGTGGGCTTGTTCAAACTTTAACAACAAATCATATTTTACAAGCTGATCACATATTTTGTGTGTAAATTCATTATCAGTAACTAGTACCTATATGTAGCCATCAAATAATAAAGTAAAACGTTTGAAAGCCTCTGTAATGTGGTGAAGTTCAAATATGTTTTATATTTCATGCGCGTCAGATACGCTTCTATTTAACACAACCAAAGGCTTGACGAGTTAGTTTTAGTTAATGTATTTGCACATGCACTATATATGTATATATATATACACACACACATATATATGGACAACAGAATTTAAAAGAAATGTAAAATGTGCAGGAGAGCTTTGAAGATGAAGATACCTCCCAATTATAAATATAATCATACTATCAAAAAAGAACCGATTCAAGCCACTTCAATACAATATTAAGAAGAAATGTACAATTAATTAACATCATAATGTTCACCAACTCTGTATGCTTCAAGTCTATTTTTGTCTCTTTTACATGAGTAATTGCAGTGACTTTGTGTTGGACTCTGACTGACCTACACTCACTACTGTGCCTGAACACATCCTGTGCAGAGACAGACAGAGACTTTGTGTAAAACTGTCTAAAGTAAAACATGTACATCAAGTTGGTGCTTACGTACACCGCTGATCCTGCACAGCAATAACATTTGTGCTATTTCAGACAATTTATAAATGTTTTAAAACCCAATGACATTCAGCACAGTTGGAAACATAATGGTGGTAAAGTTGATATAGACAACAATAACAAGGTTACGGGTTCGTAGGACACCAGTATTTTTCTTTTCAAAGCCCAAACTGTGAAATGGTTGAGAGACTCAGACGAAGTGTTGCCTTTACCACATTTTTTCTCATTTCTAATTTTAAGTCACTTGTGTCCTTGGCCCAGTGAATTCTCTTTAAAGACTGACATTTCTGCCTCAAACATGATTGGATATGGCTGGCTCCAGTCAGGCTCAGTTTCTCTCCCGTTACATAAAAATCAGGTTGGATTCCCGCTCACGTTGAGCTCGAGGGCTCAAGAATACTGTTGAAAAACACCAATTGACCATAATTGGATTCAGGCTCACATGGGAACAGATTTATGTTTAACTGAACTTTTTAGGTAGTTGGACTCCACCTAAACTTTTAGTCCTGAGTCGAGCTTTGATTCTCCGCAGGCGCACAGATTTAAAAAAAAAAAAAAAAAAAAAAAAAAAAAAAAACACAACACACACACACACACACACACACACACACACACACACACACACATAAATGCTGTCACTCACCCCCAGGTCTATTAGTGTTCTAACTGCAGTGTGTGCAGCCTCCTCTGAGCAGCTTTCTGTGAGATATGGCACAAAGGCACACATGAATCAAAAGAACAGACAGATATCCAATACAAAAAAACAGGTCGGTATAACAGAACAAAGCCATTACCAGTGGGATTGATTGAAATTTTATTCTGGGTAATATTGAAAGGTGTCATTTGGGTAGTTTCTGATTGTCTTATATGATTTTTTAAGAAGACAGCGTTTGAAGAGAGCAGGGGAGCTGCTTTGCGTTTCTTCTCCGGTCTCTGCTGACTTGTTACAACACAAGCTGAATCAGTGAGAGAAGGCAAGGTGACAAGCTTTTGAAGTTATGACACAAAGAAATGGAGGCTCTTCGTGTTTGTGTGTCTGTGTGTGTGTTTTTGAGAGGGGATGTCAGGTTGAGCTCACCATAGTGCTGTTTCTTCTTATGTGCTGTGTCACACAGATGGGAGTGTAGCTGAGCCACAAACTCTGCTTCTGCAGCAGGAAAGACATGAAAATAGAGCCAATTATTCCACTCAAAGCAAAGGACACTCCTCCGAGATACTATATGGAGTTTTCACGGGTCGGTGACATGCTATCACACTGTATATTTACGACTGGTGGGCGGTGGAGCAGGCCACTGCAAATGGTTGAAGCATAAATATCAGAGACATGAAGAACACCATCAACATTCATTCTGACTTAATGTGGCATGAATGTATCAGCTGGTTCTTTGCTTTGTGCAATACTTGTACAAAAGTTAATACTTTCAAATGAAGCTTTAAAAGACCCGTGTTTAGGATATAGAGGCAGCTAGCAGTGAAGCAGCAAATGGCAACTCACTGAAGATTGCTTATGTTTGTATTTAATGACCTGGGAATGAGAACAGGCTGTGAAGTGTGTAGGAGAAACTATGGTGGCCGTGAAAAAGCCTCTAGAATCAGTGTTTGGTTCGTCCCTTCTAGGCTACTGTAGAAACTTGGCAGTTCAACATGGTGGCCTCTCTGTAGATAAAAAAACGTCTCATTCTAAGGTAACAAAAACACAAAGATCCTTATTTTCAGTTGATTATACACTAATGAAAACATGAATATTATATTTTCTTTCTGCCAATAGATCCTGAAAGTCTCGCCAAGTTTCCACACAAAACTGTCCCTTAAACATACAACACACATACCTGGCAGTGATGAGTGCAGAAGGTCCAGTCCGGTGGTCGTCCAGCACAGTGTCCTCAGAGGTCCAGCTAGCATACTGCAGAGGAAGAAGAGCATCTCTGGACACTGACTTGGTTGGCTTATCTAGAGGAGTAGACAGACACCGAATGTGGTCAGAAAGGGTAAAATGAAGAGCAGGGATGAAATAGCATTTTCCACTGTGATGAGCAGTGAGAAGATGCTGTCAGTTGGTCTGTGGGTCCCAGAAAGTAATACTGCTGCAGGACACAGAGGCACAATACTGTAAAAGTTACACTTGCCAGAGCAGAATACATTTATATGGATGTCCCAGGTTTAAATCCCAGTGCTGGTTTCATGCAGTAAAACATAAAGGTTTTATGTTCACGTAAAACAAAAAACACACAGTGTATACTGTCATTGTGTGGCAGTCACTGAGCTTCAGCTTTCTCTTGAGTGGCATGTGAAGACACGAAGGTCGAAGGGATAGACAAAATGACAGGAACACCTAAGTAAATATAAAGAAAAATCCCAATAATGACTACACTTTCAGAGCATTTTCTTTTTTTTATTTCCTTAATTTTCCTCTTTTATCCCACAGGTGATACAACAGTACAGCCAGAAATGTATGAGGACAAAAACTCACATTTTAATTTAACTTTAATCCTTCCACTCTCTTTTTCTTGAAGAATATAGTTTTATTTTGTTTTTATCTATGAATTTATTTCATGGGTATTCATTTCTGATGTCCTGTAATCAGTCTTGGTTGATTAGGATGTGAGCAGTCATTTCTAGCATTTTACGGATCACTGAACCTTGCACCTTGAACCAGACCTCATCAGAGGTGTACACGGTCAAAAGTATGTGGACGTTAAAACCGTACATTCATATGTGATTGTTTGTGTTGCTGTAACATCCTCAACTCTTCAAGAAAGGCTTTGCACAAGATTTTGGAACCTGGCTGCAGGAATTTGCCCCAGTTCAGCCTCAGCATTAGTGAGGTCAAGCACTGATGTTGAGTAATGAGGCTGCCTCTGATTCTGGGCTCAAATGTTGGATGGGGTTGAGGTCAGGGCTCTGTGTAGGCGAGTCAAGTTCTTACACACTCCAACTCCAGAAAATGAATTTCTTTAAGGCTTTGTGCACAGGGGCACTATTATGGTAAAACATGATAGGGTCTTCCCCTAAACTGCTGCTAAAAGTTGGAAGCAAAATATTTTATTCTGTAAAAGATGTAAAAGAAGGGATCTCAATCCCAAGTACACAAACATATGTGGACGGGGGTGTAGACATACAATTGGCCATATAGTGTAAACTGGACAACTGGAACTACTTCTGCTCTGCATTCATGTATTCAAATATTAAGCATAAAGACTGAATTAATGGTTACAAATGGTAAATGAGGGAGGCCATAAAGCTGAGGGTACATTAAAGCATTTTATAAATAGGTTATCCGTGTCTTTCTTTTATTCATTGGTCATTATATAGCCATACAAAACCAGTATGTCTCTCAAGGGGTGGATGCCATTACCAGTTCAGCACACTGGACAGGGTGATATAGTATAATGGGTTTCTACTGCTATTTACACACATGAACTCACTTAAAACTATTTTACAAAAAGTGCTTAAAAATCACATATCAAGTGATATTTCACTCAGCATGACATTTTGAATGGAGCTCATCCACTTTTTCAATGAACAGTCGCCATTTAGTCAATAAGGCTAATTCAATTTGTGTTTAAACGGTCATTATGTGAATGTGCAGCACTTACAAGCTTCAGTACACAGTAGAACTTTAAGATCAACATAGCAGAGAGAAAAGAGAGAGTGGTCATTAGTGGAGTTGTATGAGGAGTAAAAACACATTTTTAAAAAAAAGGGCAAATCAGCAGCTATTAAGACCAGAGAGGCTGCCTGGCAAAAATATACTAATAGACTAAAGTAGTAGAGCCAAATAAGTAGATATGAAAAAGAAAGTCTCACAAAGGCGCTCCAAATGGCAGAAGGTAAAGGTATAAACAATAATATATTGGCTGATATTAGCTTATCAGATGGATCTGGAACAAGAAATTACTAATGTCAAAAAAATGTTTGAAGTAGTTAAGAAACACAACTGACGATTGTCCTGCTCAGTACATACCTTGGTCAAAATGCATTATACACCGATCAGATGTAACATTATGACCACTGACAGGTGAAGTGAATAACACCGGTTAACTGGTTATCATGGCACCTGTCAGTGGGCGGGATATATTAGGCAGCAAGTGAACATTTTGGCCTTTAAAGTTGATGTGTTGTGGGCAGCGTGAGAATTTGAGCGACTTTGACAAGAGCCAAATTGTGATGGCTAGACGACTGTGTCAGAGCATCTCCAAACCTGCAACTCTTGTGGGGTGTTTGCAGTCTGCAGAGGTCAGTACCTATCAAAGGTCCAAGGAAGGAAAAGCCTTGAACCATCAACAAGGTCAAGGTGGCCAAGGCTCAGTGATGTACGTGGAGAGCGAAGGCTGGCAAAGCATGCCCAGTACATAATAATACATTGAAAATGTGCCTATGGAAAGCTCTATGTGCGAGTCCATAAATCTCTTAAACTTGATATCACTGTATTACTGCTTTGTGAAACCATCTGAAGTAAACCTTTCCAGGCCAACTGATAACAGGCAGTAGAGGAGGAGGTAAGGGAATATATGTTCCAATGTTTGGTACGGAGGTGTTTGCTGAGGGCAGCAGAGCAGAGGCGTCAGGTGAAGAAGAGTGAGTTCATTGGATAGAGGGAGTTAAAAGTTAAAGTAAAAAGACGGAAAAAAAATACACTGGTGAGCCTCTTCCTCAGCTGAAGTCAGAGAGAGGAACTGATACCAGTGTGGAGGTGTCAACTTGCTTGCAGCACAGGTAGGCATAAGAACGTTTATTAATTTTCTGTGTAGTTAACGGTAGCAAGTTACAGTGTTCCTTACATTTTCTGATAAGAACAGGGTGTCAAATAACAGCTGTATCAGAAGTAAGCGAGGAAGTCCTTGGCACACAAAACAACCACGCACTGAATTTTGGAAGCTCCTAAAAACTCTTTACTGATGCAATGTTTCAACCTTCAAGGTTGAAAATCATCAGTAAATAAATAAGTTTATAAGTAAATTATCAGGCAAACATAACAAACGAACAAATAGCAGGATACACACAAAACCCATCACAAACCAATCTACTATGTACATAAAAAAACAAATTGTTCATACAGAAAGCTAGCCAGTGTGCAGATCTCTGAATTGCCACCAATCTCCAATCTCCTCGATTCAAACGGAAATTAATGTGAGTGTGTGCCTGCCTTACTGCCTGTTGTAGTACGATTACATGTTTTTATGTACAAACTGCAGTACAAAGCTTTAGGATGATGGATGTTTATCTGCTTCAAGTGACCTTATAATTGTGTGGGAAGCTGTCATTTTCATCTGTATATGCAGCCTAGTTTTTGTTCATATGGATGTTTGCCTGGCGGCTAATTTGAAGGCCAAAACGTTCCATCGTTCATACTTCATACATACAAAAGAAAGATGGTCATATTTAGTGTGTGGACTCTCTTTCATCTGTATGTCAAGTTCATTATGGACCATGTTAACTGAACTACCACAGGCTGCATTAGGACCTTAAACTGATATAAACACTGTAAACAACAGAGGTTTCAGTACACCTAGGGCTTTAAGATGCAAGAACTGTGTATTCAACGCGTCTGTTAAACCATCTGGATGTGTTGGTGAGAAACACTGTCAACATTACTGATTGTTTAAAATGAAAACTCAGTGCACCTTTGAATGTAAATGTGATATTCGTTCTATTGAATTTCGACATGCTGAAAATTAGAAAGACATTCTTCACTGATTGACGATGATGAACTATAAGGTGTGCACTGATTGTTGCTCTTTCTTGATGCAGTATAAGATTTACATGTACTGTCATGACTCCTGAAGCTGTCATCTCAAAGTCACTTTGCTGTTTTTGTGACCGATGCTCCTGAACTATGAGAGCTGGCTGTTTGGTCCCTTTGGAAGTTGGTTAGCTGCCTTCTGTTGCTTTGAAAAATCACATATAACAGTCATGACCACTAAGGCTTCTTTTAAAGCTGACACATGCTGCTAATTGGCATTCAAGTAATGTGACTCAGTTGTGTAGGTGCTTTTGTAATGGAGATTTAGTTACTTCAAAGTTTATGTGATGTTTCTGGTATTTTTGTACGTGCCCTGTAGGCAGTCACCTCGGGTGCCATCGTTTGTAGGTCATGCCAGTATGGAAAATGTTTCCCTTCATATAATGATTCTCTGAGGCATATGAAGAAGCAGAGGGGCCTAGCGGTGCTCTCCTGTTACCTTGTAGGAACGCAGATCCTGCTCCTCACAGTCAGAGTCACTGTGATAAGGATCATCAGAGGTGGTCCAGGTCAGAACACCTTCTTTCTTCCAGAAATCACAGATGGGAACGTCTCTGGCAACCTACACAGGACGGAGGGCAGAACAGACAGCAGCATGTCAGACTGTATCTCTTTCTGTCTGGTAAGGCCATATGTGAGTGAAGTCTTAAACTTAGTGCTTGAGCCTTATGTGCATGTTGTTGTTCAATGTATAATGAGTTTCATTACAAAATGAAAAATCAAGTCTGATAACTAATTTTACACAATAGACTGTAAACACCAAATTCCAATATTTAGAAAAGAAAGCTCTGCACGCTTATTACCTCTGAAGATCCTTGTTATTAATCATTATCTGCCTGCCTGCAATAGCCTTCACTGAGTTTGTATTATTGTCTGAATTACAAAACCCATTATAAAGCTTCATCACTATGAACAAACCCTTTCACATTGTTTTCAGATTGTTAGTCCATACAATTTTATTATAAAAATGTCTATTAATGTCACTTTAAATTAATGAGTAAAATATTCCACAGTATTTAATGATAAAGTCAAGCTTTCAGTCTTTCAGGGAAAATGTTTGATAAAAGGGAATCCCAGAGCTTGTAACGACACTTTTTACTTTGTTATTAAAGCTCCCAGGGCAGTTCACACTTGAAATTTCTTAATTTTACAGGGTAAAAAAACAAATTATGACGATACATTTTCAAAACAGTACAGCAGCGTGTTAAAGGTCCATTGTGTAGGATTTAATGACATCTAAGGTTGCAGATTGTTACTCAGTCACTTTGCCCTTCCCTTCCAAACATGAGGGGGAAATTAAGGTGGCCGCGAAACATCCTAAAAACATGAACAGCCCTGTCTAGAAGTAGTGCTCGGTTTGTCCGTTCTGGGCCACTGAAGAAACATGGTGGTTTTAGTGGAAGGCAACCAGAGGTGTCACAACACAAACGTCACGTAAAAACACAAAGATTCCTATATTCAGGTAATTATACACAAATGAAAACATATATTCCACGTCTGCTTATAGATGCTCCTAAATGTTACACACACTGGACCTTTAAAGAAAAACATGTATCTAAAATGTATCTTACTTCTTCCATGATTAGGATGCCACAGCGGACCAGACTGTCAACTGCATCCAGAGCGAAACTCTGGGGTGACTGACAGGGCTGGGGAGAGGAAGAGAGAGGGAGGGAGAGAGAAAAAATGGGTAAGCTCTCTGGTGAAGCAAGGTTAGATGCACAAACAGCTCCAGACCATTACATATCTAAGAAGACAGCTGACAGAGAGCATAAGGTGTGTAGTAGAGATGTAGCAGAGATCAGAGGACGAGAATGAGAGATGGCCGGCAGGAGGACAGGAGCAGGAGCGATATTTTTTAGGTGAGAAATGGGGTGAGAAACATAGCTCCAAGCCGAAGAGACAAGAAAGAGCAGCTGCTGAAATGAAAGGTGGGCAAACAGAGAAAGGAACAGCATTTCTGGCTCAGATTCGGAGCCCTTAAAGTCAAAGATGGAGCACGTACATACACAGTCACACACAGATACACAGTACACACACACACAGATACACAGTACACACACACACACACACACACACACACACACACACACACACACACACACACACACACACACACAGTACACACACACACACAATTTGAAACCTTTCTCTGCCAGAGATAGAGGCAGCAGAGCAGGATGAATGGCTGTTCAGCTCCATTAAACATCCATTGAATGAGACACACTGGGTGCGTGTGTGTGTGTGATACGAATTCAAACTCACTGGCATGAAGCCTGGAGGCAGGAGATGGCAGAGCTGAAGGGCTCTCTCAGTCAGCTCGGACTCGCAGAGCACCACATCAAACTCCATGTCACCTTTCACCTCCTCCCCGTCCACGCCGCTGCTCCTCACCCTGCTGCTGACGCCACTGCCGGCCACCTCGCACAGCATGGCAGACACCGCGCATGCTACGAACAAAAACACACACACACACACACACACACACGAACATTTGATAATTTCGCACCAGTTCTTCATGCACATACTCATGGTGAGAGCACTGGTGTGGTCTAAAGTAAGTTTGGTTTGTATCTTAGCAAAATATCTTGGCTAATACAGTTGATGAGATTTTGCTGATACGTTGGATCTTGGATTTCCACCATTTACACAAGTGTTATCTCTTTATTTGTACTTTTTATCCCTATTATCCTGCTTTCATGTGCCGGTGGGAATGTCTTGACACCCAGATTGTTCATGTCCCTAAACAGAGGGACAACATTACGGAGGCTGGTGGAGATTTGAGTTCAAGTGTCCTTAAATTAGCGTCCACAGATTTCCTATAATGTTACACAACAAACATCACTACCGCAGTATAGCTGATTTGATTTATTTTTCCCACTTGAGGTTAGCAGCCATGTTAAAATCTATTACAGTACACAAAGGCTTTCAGCAGCGCACAGTCCACTGCCCACCAGCTTCACTTCCTATACAACCAAAACAAGTCATGCAGGAATAATGAATCATACAGCCCAAGTAGCTTCCTGCACTTCAAAGCACCACATTATTTTTACCTCCACCAGCAATGCTAAAATAGGGCTACAATATCTATGGCTTCACCCTGTCTGCCTGTTAGCATGATGTCTGAAAACAAAACAGCACACATATAAGTACAATTAAGTCAACAGATAGCTCTTGGCTCAAGGATAAGCGGATATAAGACTGTAGTGAGGATTTGGGATCTAGGCTTTCTGCCATTTGATGATTAACATATATTACTCACATGCATTATGCGGTTCCAGCCCTATTGCCAAACAAGAACAGCAAAATCAGGCGATTCTGCAAAAATTTCAATGTAAATTCTGTTCAAATTCTCTCTTTCTGCAATATCTACAGTGTGGTTATGGTTAGGGAAAAATCATAGTTAGGGTTAATAAAAAATGCTTATGTTAATTGCTCTTTTGCATAAAGGTTTGCTCTGCCTGATTACATCTAGGGAACCTCTAGGGAATGCATTTAGGCATTGAACGTTGGCACTGGACGTATATTGTGTGGTGCAAAGTCATCCAATATGGACGTAATTCCCAGGGTTATTGAGCTGGTAGAAGGATCTGTACTTAAAAAGAGCTGCTGAGACAAAGCGCATCAATGTGATCCTATTATCGTAATCACAGCACGTAAACAATAACCAAACTTAAACCATAGTGCAGGTCTGTATTTGCATGTAGATGGTTTTATGCTACCAAGTGTCATCCAGGGGCACTTCCACTGTGGCACCTCTTACAGTTACTTAACATGTGGCTATTAGGGTGCTACATGCTAGAGTTCCTGAATTTTATTGCATAAGAGATGAAATGTAAGCTAAAGTTAGCATGGAGCACCCGACCACACAGGCTACCACTGGTGCAAGGAGGATTTTTTCATTCATTCAGGAGGATATATTGTCAGAAATGTAATATAATATTCATAGGTAAGTTTTCATCAGTGTATAATCACCTGAATATAGGATTTTTTTGTGTTGAGCTTTATCTACAGACACTGTGGGTCTTCTTCTATGGAGTCTACCTTTTCTACAGTAACCCTGAACAGACAAACCAAACAGTGGCTGTAGATATGGCTACCGTAGTTCCTCCTTCACACTTCACTGCCTGTTCTCATTCTCAGGTCATCAAATACAAACGGTGTAAGTTAGTTGCAATCTTGAACTTCACCGCTAGATGCCAGTAAATCCTACACATTGGTCCTTTAAGAACAATGAAAGTGCAGAGAAGTAAAGCTCTCTGTGTCTTGCTAAGGGACACTTTAACAGCAGGGCAACTGTTAACTGTCTAGAAATCCCACTTTCATGGAGTATAATGTTCCGTATTTTTATTATTATAACCTTGTAGTCATAAAAAACTGGCAACAGAGTATAAAAAAACACTACAAAATAATTCAGTCACACAAAGCAGTCTTATCACTCTCTCACACACAGACAGACTAAATAAAAAGTTCACAAACATTATTAATTGTCTCTAACTTCAATTGGTTTTGCAGTTTTGCAGGTGCATACAATCATAAACCATCCTTCCCAAGTGCAGAGATGAAATGAGGAACTATCAAAGCCAACCTATTTCTGTGAACAGATGTTATGTTTGTTCACTCTGAACTCTACAGGGGATGTTATGTATGTAGGAACTTAGAAAGCATGGCTTTGTATATGAAAACATGGGTATGCTGGTTGTCAGTGATGATCTGACCTTTTTATATAACTGTCGGTGCGGTGAGCACAATAAGCTGTTGAATCAAATGGCACAGTGGTAAATGGCACCCAATTGTTTCGGGGTAGCCTGAGCATACAGAATACCTCTGTTATCTATAATCTACTGTAGATAGTGTAGTGGAGTTAATTAAATTATTATTAAATTAAACACAAGCACTGTTCTCGTATATAATACATTAGATTTTTTCTTGCTTTAGAGTGTCTTCAATCTGCTATTCAAATAAATTCTTACATATTTATAGTGCAGAACTGTATAGATTAGATTTTTGAAAATACACCACTGATTAAAGTAGGAACATCAAAGGTTTGTGCTAGTGTGAAATCCACACATTTTATCTTCGTGGAGTTTAGAACAAGCTTTAAATCAATAAAAGGGCTTGTTAACAGCAGACTGTAACCTGGTTTGAGGTAGTACGTAGGGAAGTATGGGCTCATATTCTCATGTCTAATTTCTATGGATGACTCACCTGTTAAGGTGCAGCACTCGAGTTATCGTCTATACACATCACACATATTTACACAATCAGAAGGGTCAGAAAAACAGTTAAAACCAGCTGAAGACGTGCACTGGCACTGATGACCTGTCCTCACATCACCTGCTGTAAATAATCTGCTGTTGCACGTACAGTACCCCGACACTGCTCAAAGCTTGGCATTCCTTAAACACACAGAATATTAAATACTTCAACTTTAAAAATGTCATGTCTCAAACTGATTTTCTATACTGACATGCCAACAGTCAGAGCCACAGCCAAGGCCTCCCACGAAAAATAAGGTGCCTGTAGAACACAGGGTCTCGGGATGACATTTAGGCTTATGCGTTATAATTTTGTCAGGAACACAAAATACATGCATGCAAAGTCACTCACCACCAACCACTTCCAAAATGAAGGTGTGTGTCACAATCTGGGCCTGGAGGGCGAGGTGAAGTGTGGCAGCAAGGGAAGGACGGGGCACAATAAAAGGGTCTTTCCTAGAAGAAGGGAGACATGGACCAAAAGGACAACGGGGCAGTAATGGAGACAGAGGTTTCACTGAAAGGGAAATTGGATTTTTAATAGGCGACACAGTTTTTGCTGTATAAAGCTTATTAGTGTTCTTTGTTTTTCTTCTGACAGACAGAAAACCAACCCAGACGGTGCTGCAGCTATGACGAGATGAGGGGCGAGCAGAGAAAGGGAATAGTGGACCACATCCGCTAAACTTCCCCCAAAACCGACGTCTCTGTTCCTGAACAAGACTTCCTCTGTGAGCCAGGCCACATCATGACACAGGAGAGACGCACTCACGCCCTGCGGAGGAGAAGGATGAAGAAGTTTTGTTACAATATCAGACGTGACCATTAACCATCTGGTGACGTTAGTGAGAGACTTTTGGGTATGACTCAGCGTCACACTCTAATAAAGTAGCACGAAAACCAATTCTGTTTATGAGCCTCTTGGAGTATTGATGGATCCTTGGAGGGGCAGGGGGCGGATTTTAACACTGATGGCACCAAAGGGAAGATTGCTCAGCAAACACACAAACACAGGCATGGTGCACGTACCTTGCGGTGTCTGTACAGAAAAAGACTGGACACTAGGCTGGTGGACATCACAGCCATGCAGGAGGTTGCAGCTAGAGAACAAACACACGCACAGACAAACAGTACAGAGATAATGCCGAACAATTTGCATAAAATTAAGAAAGGTTTATTGATGATTCAGCAGAGGTACATAATCCTGCACCTACAGAAGATGAGGTGGAGGGTGATGGCGATGCTGAGGTCTCTCTCTGGAGGAGGTCCCTCTTTGAGTTCAGATGCATAATGAGAAGAAGGCAGAAGCCACGACATCCTCCTCCGCCCAAACACACTGTCAGTTCTTGAGAGAAAAAGTGTGAGATGAGGAGTGAAGAATGTCAGGATGAATGTATTTTATTTTAAATCGTCTTAACTGACTCAAACTTGTTAAAGTTGTAATCGTCAAGATTTTTATAAAGTCAAATCCCATTTTTTATACGATTTATGGTCCGCATTTTTTCTCCAATATATCATCATCAGTATATACATTCTTTGATTCTTTTTGGATCAATTACCTCTCTATATAGCTGTTTTCAATGTTAATGGTTGAGTCTGCCAATCCCGCACTGGATTCAAGTAACTTGCCTTCATATTCAGGAGAGATTCACCGCAAACAATGTTACATGTTATCAAGCTTAATTTTAACTCATTGACATCAGCCTCATTGTTCACTCTCTTTACACTGTATGAGTGCTGTGCAAGAGTTGATGCAAACCAAACATCCTGCTGAGGCTTCCTCACACTACAGGACCAGTGTCTAAGCTTCAGTGGCATCTAGTGGTGAAGTTGCAAATTGCAACCAACTGAATACGCCTGCTTTCCTGGTGCGTAGGAGAAACTGTGCTGACCATGAAACTCGAACAACGCAAAAGGTCTCATCTAGAGCCAGTGTTTGGTTTGACAGTTCTGGGCTACTGTGGAAACATGGCTGTATAGGTGAGGACCCACTTCCCCTGTAAATAAAAATGTCTCAGTCTAAGCTAATGAAAACACAACAATTATTATTTATAGGTCATTATACACTCAAACATACTTAAAATATGAATATTATATTCCATTTCTGTCTTTAAAAGTGTTACGCTGGAAATGCATTGGGTGTTTTTTACTGTGAAGAAGCCACGAGAGATGCAATGAGTTTGCCACACTGCGGTCGTTCATTAAAAAAGCATCTATAAAGGAAAATACGTCCATTTTAAGCATTGTTTTGACAGCATATCAGTTTTAAATATTGCTGAGAGTAATGGAACAAGAGGGAACAGCCACAGTGAGCTGTTAGATTAAGAGTTGCAGGTGATAGGCTGCACACCGCCAACTCCTCAGCAAGGTAACTTTACTGTGTACTGTTGTTGTGTGGAAGACTACTTACCCCATGCACAGCATTAAATCATATTGTGGTTGCTCTACTATGATGGAAATTATTGACAGATTTTTTTTCAAATAAAAGTTTGTTTGGATGGACTCTAAACAGATACACTAATTGCTCTTCTGCTGTATTTCTGACAAAGTAGCTGCTCATTGAGTGTTTCCTGTGTATACCACACTGGCTGATACCACAGTAAACACAGCTGTTAAAAAAAAACAAAAAACAACCAAATCTTAAGGATTACATTACATTAAAGAAGGACAACACAACTGGTGAACTTCAGAAACATTCCCTTACTGGCCTTAGGCTATCAGAATGTGTTGCAGTAAATTGCATTTATTGTCGAGGGAGTTGCATAACAAATCATGTGAATGCCAGTTTAAGTATTATTTGCTCCAACGGAAGAAATGGAGCTTCATTTATTTATATTGCATGTCATTTTTCAATAATGATCAATTCACTCTTATTACAGGATTTTGTGGCTAAGGACAGTAAAAATTTGCTCTATTTCCAGTAAACTCTTAATAGCTATTATGAGAGTTCAGTGGATGACTTAACATGATATTCCTGAGAATAAAAGGAACATCTGTTTTTGGGTAAAATAACAGTGTAGACTGAAGCACTTTAGGTGCATACAAGCGTAAAAAACAGCTATGTCACTCAAAAATGGAGATACATTTTATGACCTGCTTATCCGTGGTTATGCTCGAGTGATATAAGTGTGTTATCTATGCGTCTTAGCTGTGCATGTGTGAGAGAGCAATATACAGTAGTGTATCAGTAGTGGCTCTGTTCATACACAAGTCCTACAGACAGTGACATTGTTCATCTCAAACAAGAATAAATAGCTGTGAGTGTGTGCACCTCCAGAAATCAAGGACTTTTCATTTTCTTAAAGGCAGCCCTCACATTTCCTGCATTTTTTTTATACATGGGAACAAAAAGAGGCTTCAAAAACTGAAACTTCAGCAGCCAGGGACGAACAGAATGAGGAAGCACAGACACAGACAGTGTTAAGTACCAGAGCATGTTAATGATGTAGAAATGCACAAAGAACTAAAACAGCTCACATGCTGATAACAACCCAATCTAACTATCCCTCTCTACCTCTTTTCATCTATCACTTTCCATCCCTTTCCCTCATGCTGTGTATTTTTACTGCATCCTGCTCTCTCAGAAGAATTAAATATATGAAGGGAGAAGCCACTTTGCTCGTCAGAAGCCAAGCAGAGATTGAGTGAGGATGTTATTTTCTTTCTGTTATCTTTTCCACTAGCAGACTGTGTAATGTTGATGGTAATTGGACCGAGTCTAAGAGGATGAAAACTCTCATCAGAGCTTGCATCGTATCTGTGCCAGATCCAAGGTTTAGAGAAAAGTTTATCTTCAAAGTTTAAGAGAAAGTAACTTTTCAATTTCACAGATGTTAGATAAAACACAATCCAAATCTGAACACCATTGTGGTTTCTTCACATACAGTACAGACACTCGTGCATGCAGGTATGTACACAGGTGGTTTGATTACCTGTTGTTGAGGATAACAGGCAGCAACAGGTCCTGTAGAGGGAGCCATTCATCTACTCTGCACCTCCCTGACTCGCACATCTCCTACACACAAAAACACAAAAAAATAAGGATGCACACATGCACCCTCAAGGAGCTGCACAGTAGTATCTCTAAATCATTAATTATTGATGCTCTGGTAAACCAAGTCTGCCTTAAAACTTTTAATTCCAACTATTAATGCTGCAACCCATTCCTCTATTGTTATCAGCATATGATAACCTTCAGCTACACTCAGTTTATTAGGTACACCTCGGTAAAACTTCTGTAGTCTAATACAACAGTTATGATCTTCAGGTTTTGGTTAAACCGTTTTAGAGAAGTTTTGATTCAACTTTATGATAATTTTGGAGTCTGCAGTTATATTCCGTTATATTGAGAGGTACATCTGATCCTCTTCCTGGAGAGACTAACTATACTCCACAACCGGTCACAAGTGCTGCCTCTGTTCAAATAAACTTTGGCCAACAACAAATGATTTCAAAATCAAGCTCCTTAACCAAGCTTAAAACTTTGGGTCATACTTATGGACAATATCATGTTGGTCAAATGCAACTACAGCAGTGAGACCCTCGATGAAAACAACTATCCTCCCTTTGTCAATAGGACAAATCACTCCAATACATATAGCCTTAATAATCAGAGTCAAATTCTTATGGGAGCAAATATTCAGGCCAGTATATAAACCATTGATTCCTACTTAACATGTAGCTGCAAAGAAAAAAATGACAATCATTGACCCTGTACCATCTGCTGCTCCCAGTCAGTATCAAGTTCAGTTTTTTAAATTCGCCTCAGTTGTCTAACAATCTACTCTCTGTTCTTTACTCCAAAAAGTAGGAACCACAATGACTAACATAGTATGCTCATTTATCAGTATAGCAAAGGTAACTTCATTTATATGGCCCAAAAGTTTAAAGTAAGGGGAAAAAAGGAAAGATTTCAAATGGCAGCTGTAGAAGCAGTAGTTGGTCCACTTCCAAGGTCAGTGTAAATGTATGACTAGGCTTATTTTTTATGTCCAACTTCGCCAGTAAATTAGTGGTTTGGAATCAGCAGGCTGCGACCCCCCACAAGGGGTCCCAGGATAAACATGAGAGGGCCACAAGATGATGATTAACGGGACAAGCTTTTTCTGACATACTGGATACATTCACTTTTTAAGATCTCTAATCTTCAAACATTCAAGGAAAGGAAACATCACAACATTTTTTTGTTGCTCACAACTCATAGCCAGACTACAGTCTGTACAGTCTATGACCTATGATAGGGTATCAAATGTAGATACTGCTTCATTTTAAGTCAAAAAGGTTGGGAACCACTTCTGCACCTTGAGAGAAAAGGGCTGAGCGAGGTGGATCCTGACACTTCCTCCTGGTCTTCTCCAGACAAAGGACCACAGCCACTGCAACACAGAGCTTAAGCCAACCTGTGAGGATATGTACAACACACACACACACACACACACACACACACACACACACACACACACACACACACACACACACACACACACACACACACACACACACACAGACAGATCAATATGAGGGCTACATACAGCGAGTCAGCAACTATATCATAATGAGGCGTTGTCTTTAGGACAAACATTACAACAACAACACCACTAATGAGCAGGATCTATGATAAGCACTAAGATAAATAGCCTGTCTGTGAGTGTGTGTCTGAGTAGTGGGACCGTGTGTATAGTACTGTATGTGCAGTGTGTGTGAATGACAGAATGAAATGATGAGGAGAGGACCTTATTATGGCAATTAACCGAAAGCAACACCCACTCTCCAGTATCGTCTCAAAGTGCAGATAACAAGGGGGCAAGACTAATGGAGACTAATAGCAATCAACGCTGATTTGAAAAAATTACATGCACACCTCAACTAATCAACTAATGCTGGCCAGTGAGAAATTAGAGAGCAAAGATGTGAAACAAGACTCTCATAGCTGTACTCGGGATCATTACAGGCAATTTAGTTTTCTGTCTAAACCAGAAGTTTGACACGGTAAAAAAATCTAGACAACTGTGCACCCCCACACCCCCCAGTTATGCCAAAACATATTGCACTAAGTTTGGGAACTGCAGTTAATGCTTTGTGGGATGTATAAACAATAAGTATAAAGTTGCCTTGTACGCAGTGAGTTATAGTGTGGGCTTCAACTTCAGTCACAATAAGCTATTTAAAAAGATGGTGATGAAGTTATAGCATCTTTTTTTTTATGATTTCTAAGCTGATTTATGGAAGTTAATTAGCAATGGACATCTGAGATATCCTCTGGAAGTGAAGTCTCACTGAATCTAAAAACATGTCTCATGTCTGTGTTTAAATTTGACTGAGTTATGACTTTGAGGCAGGGTGCAAAATTAACTTTTTGTCCAACGGCCAATTAACGTCCTTTGAGGAACTAGTGGCAGCTACAGCATGAGCTACCAGCGTGGTTTAACGTTAGCTGTGTGTGAAGCTGTGTGTGCTCAGAAACAACATTGGCGGCTGCAAAAAAGGTTAGTGTGGATGCTGCTAGCATCAGTTATATCAGAACTGGAGAGTATTTCATCACTGAAAGAAGAGCAAAGAACGGCACTGAAGGCTTTTCTCAGTGGAAAAGATGTTTTTGTTCATTCGTGATATATTAGGATAGACAAGTGGTTCATCCAGTCATCTGCCAAGTAGTGTAGTTTTTTGAAAGCGCCTGCCCTTTTCCAAACAGCTAGAAACTGATGCATTTCCATATGGCTCTTTGTAACAAACCATCTGGTGCAGTCAGGTTACTGAGGAGTATGATTTTTTAGACACTAAGGCGTAAGAAGTACCTTAATTTCCACCATGAGCTGTGTGTCACAACTTCTGCTGCAGCTCAGACTGTTGAACATATTGATAAGCAGGCCATATCAACGGGCCAAACTACAATAACCAAATTCCTGTTGTTTTTAGGACAGCAGCATGCACCTGTCCCCTTCACCTGTCCCCTCATGTATTATCTTTGCCTCTACCTCCGCGCCCCCCTGGGTAAGCACATTTCACAGTTTGTAAACCTTTGCTCTAAACCAAACCTGTTCACTTGCTCCTGGGGACATTACAGATGGCTATTATCAAGTGTGTGCTTGCAAGTGTGTGTTTACACGCATCCACCTGTATACTGGTCTTGGGCACACAGTCGTAGGAGATGCCCACAGGGACCAGACTAACATCGGGGACAGATCCCTCTTTGATGAGATGTCTGATGCGAGCCAGCCACTGGCTCCCTAGGCCAGACTCCGCTGACACACCAACACTTATCGCCTGGTCCTCATGTAGCAGCTCACGTACCAGCTGAGGAAGGAAGAAAGAGAAAGGGGGAGAGAGAAAGATGACAAAGGTCTTAAAAGTCCTGGCAGTAGAGGAGCATCACCATAAAATGCCTGCCATGCATTTTTAAAATATACATATAAGTAATATAGCCAAACAGACTTTGGAGGGAATACAAAGAGGCAGGAAAACAGAGTGTGGAAGGCAGCAGAGGGAGGAGAAGTCAAAATGCAGGAAGGAGGCAGGATAAAGAGCAGAAATAAAAAGGGACTGTGGGGTACACTTCATGACAGTAAGAGACCCTTCCCTTGCCCCAAGTACTGTTTTCCCCTTACAGACAAGGAAAATTCAATTACTATTGAACAGCAGCTAAGCAGGCATACACTCAATAAACAATAAAGGTCTATTAACATTGAAATACAACCAATAAACAAGCCTGCTTTCTCACGCACAGCCAATATGCTTACTCACATAAATGGTCAATGAAAAAAAAAAAAAAACTACTCACTGCGTCACTCATAAACAATCTGTTTATGTTCCACTGTGGCTGTAGTCTTGTAGATTAATGTCAGACTGAGACGCTTTATTGAGCTGTATAGCACAATATTGATCTTAATAAAGAGAGTAACTCCTACAAATGAAACAGGTCTTTAGCCAAACTGATGCAAAGCACAAAAGAGCTCCCTTGCTAGATACAAAGACAGGAAGATATTAATGATGAACAGGTGTTGATGATAAAAACCTAGACAAGGGGGACAGAGAATAAGACAAAGAGTACAAAGAAGGTACTAGAGAAAAGTGTGATAGATGCAATAGAGGAGAGAGCAAGGCCACATAAATCTCCAAAAATAAAAGGGGAAACAAACACAAATTTCCTTCTTTATAAAAATAGAAACAACCTGCTCAGACCTGCCAGGCTCACACAATCAAGCCAACCAATATTCTTCTCATTTCTCCGCCCTCTACTCATTGCTTTGTCACTCCAACCAACTCCAAAGCTGCAATCTCTGTAGCAAAACTCCAGCCCATTGGTAATTTTGAGAATGAATAGTGAGTGAGACGAGGCTGGGGAATGAGAGAGAGGATGAAAAGACAGGTTGTATTCTGACTGAGGAGCTGACTGTGATAACACTCCACTGCGGAGTGCAATAAAAAGTGTGTGTATGTGAGTGAGTATGAATTGAACCGAATACACATACACTAAACAGCCAAATTACTGGGACAGGTATCTTTTGCTTACCCTGCAATTTTATATAATTACCTGCTGTCATGAAGGGTTTTTTTTTTTTTTTTTTAGCAAAATGCATTAGCAACATGTTTTCAGATTCGTAGCCCAGTGCTTTTTTCCCATCTACTAGTAAACACACTGTTTTTGGGTTCAGATATGCAGCTAATGAGAAACTGCTCCAATTGTCAGGCTGAAATGATTTGTAGCAAAAGTGTTTTTATGGTTGGTGGCTCTGAGAAAATGGTACATGAAACCTGAATTAGCTTTTGACTGTTGAGAGGGATATTTGCATATGTGAAAAACAGTTGTTGAAAGCCTTCTGTAACGCGAGGGAGCTTTGCAAACAGCGCGGTAGTTAATGTAGTTAAGTGTGTTTTAAGTACATCTTAATTGGGGGGTGAGAATACAAATCAACCCGAAAGTCCGTCTTTAGATGGTTGTCGGTGAGAAGAAGTTGGCATCACTGCAGGCTACAAGCTGTACTTGAGGCTATTGGCTAAATGAGCTTCATGTAGCTTCTCCAAGTGCATCTTCAATTGACAATTATACCTAAAAATAGACTTTAGCTCAGATTTTTCTACTGGTGTTGTTCTAGGGATTATAATGTTTTTGTGTGAGTTGGTTGGACTTTGTTGATCCTTTTTGTCTGGCACCACCATGAGGTTTACATTTGTGGTTTTAAGTGAAATATCTCAACTATTGGATAGATTAACATGTAAGTTGATACAGACATTCATGTATGATGTAATAACTTTGAACCCCATGACTTTTCATTTAGCGCCATCATCAGGTAAAAGACTTTTCCATCATCCTCGGCTGTATTATGTGTTATTTAGCAAATATTAGAATACTAACATGGTGAACATGGTAAAGATTTACATGCTAATCACCAGCATTTTAGCATCATCATTGTAAGGATGTGAGGTTAGCATATAGCTCATAGCTCTGCTGTGCCTTGGTACAGACAGAGAGCAGCTGGCATGGCTGTATACTCTTAGTCAATTGTCTGGACCCCAGGGAAGACCAAAATGTTGCTCTTCCTCACTGACTCAGAAGTTAATTCGTACTTCAAACCTCATAAAACTACAATCACCATGAAAATCGTCACATCCTATCTCATCTTATTCCCTACTATGTCAGACTTACGGAGGTCATGACAGATGAGTACAGACTGTTCATCTCAGCATCCTGCTCAGTCAGTGCAGAAGGCGGCAGGAGGACCACACCAACTTTCTGCAGGATTGATCTGTAGGATAAAAACAGGATACTGGATCTCAGACAGGACTAGTTTAATTTAAGAAGCTTGGAGTGATGAAGCATCTTTACAATGTGTTCAAAATTAAATTGACTGGATTAAATATTATGCCGTGAATAAAAGCGATAAATTCAGCATCTCAGTTCTGGCAAAAAGGGTGTCTGCATTATTTGTGGGGGAAGATACTGTATGTTCAGTATATAAATAAATATATATACTGTATAGTTGTTATCTCGGTGCAACTTGGCTGGCATCTTCTTTGTGAGTTTGTGTGTGTGTGTGTGTGTGTGTGTGTGTGTGTGTGTGTGTGTGTGTGTGTGTGTGACTATACCTCAGGAAGTAGCTATTAATCTGGAAGGGACAGAGAGTGTATGGGACTCTCAGGTTGTGACAGAAGAGCACCAGAGGGAGGAGAGCACAGTCCACGATGCTCTGACGCACATACACGTAAACCAGCAGAGACCCCTGAATTACACAACAGAAGCAGATTTAGATGAAAGAGATTCTCCACATTGTAATTTATTAAGGAAAACAATGGTGGACTGGACAGAGGTGGCGTACGGATTAGGAAAGGTTTCAGATAATATCAGCAGAATGGAACGCAGAGAAAATACCATTATAATTTAAAAGCAGCAGGGAAACAAAATGGTACAATCTTATTATTTTGATTACAAGTGCAGGCAGAGATTATATGTAAAGTATACATGTGGGGAGTTTAAGTGACTGTACATACAGTAGACGTGGGCAGCGTACAATCTGTGTTTTCATACAATCAGTTCGATTATTCTGTTGTGGGCCTTTATCCTTTGAGCAACATTTGATTTTTTTTTCATTACAGACATGGAAATGAAGAGCTACTATCCAAAACTCAATTATGTATCGAGTGAAGTCAAAGCAGAGAGATAAAACATGATTGTACTTTTGTGGATATAATAGTGCCACTACAGTAAAGAAAGGGTAATAAGGTTTGCAATAAAAGTGCTGCAATAATAAAACATGTAAGTAGTCAAGAGTATTGCTAGGTTCTATTAAAGCGATGATGAAAACAAGTTTATTACTTTTTTTATTTTTGTTCATCATCTTTTATCTATCTTTTGTCTATGCCAAACCTGTTCTGAAAATCTCAAAATAATTAGTCATCAGATATAATGACGTCACATGATATGATTATTATTTTATCTGTAATCAATACACAGTTAAATATATGAAGACATCTATGAGGGTGCCTTGTTATTTTAATCTATGTGTGAAATAATACAAGATGAATCAGATTATACATTTGAGGGTAGATTGAGACACACTAAAACTAAATCCATTTTGTACACGATCCTCCCATTTCCAGGTTTCAAAAACACATTTGGACAAATTAAGAATAATGCATTTCAGTGAGATCTAGGCTAAAGACATAGTTCACTGAATTCATTCATGCCCATCTTGAACCCCTAAAAACAGCAGCCTCTCTCTTTCCTGAGACGTTTTTACTTGTATTTATTTAGTCAACCATGTAATTAGAGATGTGTGGTCTTCAGTAAAAAAACAGAAAATAATTAAGTATAACAAAGCAAGTAAGAGAAAATCAAAAGTTTTAAGTATTTTCTTACAGACTTTTAAAAGTAACACTGAAAAATCTGACATTTCTGTGAACCTTAAAACCTTTCGTAGTAGATGTATACGAACTGTAGCTGTTTACCATCTCATTAGATCAATAGAGCACAGCCTAGTTTCACATCCTGTGTCTGATTCTGTGTGAAAACAAAACATCATAGTATCTGTGTCCAATACAACGTGCGCTTTCCATGTTTGGGAGAAAGAGTTGACACCCGTTGTGGAAGATTTTCATCTGCATATGTATGTGTGTTTTTAGATACGTTTACCTCTTGTGAAGCTCTGTGCAAAGCCGGTAGATGGTTGAGGTTAATCTGAATGCTGTCAAACATGGAAGCAAACATCTTCAGCATCACCCAGCCCACAAATCTACTCAGGATAGATATATCGAAAGACGAAAGAAAGAATGGTAGAAACAATTAGTAACTGGAGATGAGGAGGGGAGGGGGACAATGTACAGGCAATAATGGACAGATAGTGGTAAAGCTAAGAAGAAAATTCAGGCTTCCCACTCTTTTTGAGAAATTATTTTCCAGGACTTTTTCTTGACAATAGAGGACAGCAGTTGCTCATCAATGGTTATATACAGATATGCGTATTATTGACACATTTAACACTGGTGATCCAGTGATCCAGGGTTCAAGTTAAAGTGCCTCAGGTTTATTACAGGTAGGTGGTCAGCGTTTATTGGACGCTTCGTGTTAGCTTGTTTTTGTGCCACAGCCAACTTATCGCTCCAAGTACAAGCTTATTTCGGTTCTGCTTCGCATCTGGTAAACTCAATTTGAAGTGTCATAGCATGCAGCCTATCCTACAGTTTCAAACAAATTACGCACCTAAGTTTATGTAGGCGATCGGAGTGAGGGACTTAAATACAAATACAAGAGAAATTATTTCCAGGGTATTTGGTTATTTTAACAAATTCCCACGTGTTTCCAGGACGTGCGTTAACCCTGAGAAATAGCCACCAATAACGGGATGTTAAGCAAAATGGAGCTTTAACAGAGAAAGTGAGGATTGATTTAAGTGTGACAACATGTAAATGAGATAGATGGGAGTAAGACAAAGTGGAGAGAAGAGAGATAAGGATAAGAAAGAAAATGATGACATAAGGAAAAAAGCAAAAACGGAAAGCGATAAAGTCGGGTGTGTGTGAGGGTGACAGCTGTAGATAGAGACGAAGGCTGAGGCTGTAAATGAGGGGGAGAGAAAGAGAGAAGAAAGACAGTACCGGGCAGATCTTTACAAGAGATTCCAAAGACTAAAAAAGCCCCAAAAAGTTTCTTTAAAAAATGTTTTTTAAAAAAGCAATAAGTTTCCACTCCATTTCACTAGACATTTGCAGAAATCTAATACTGTCTGTGGCTACAGCAACAGGCTCTTAAGACCTGTCAGAGTCATAACACCCTATTTCAATTTAAAATACAACACGTATATTTTGGCCAGGAACGATCGAAGAGTGTTGCATGTCCTCCAATGGCCTGGGTTAGTTTATGCCTCAACAACTGTCAGTCATCTTGAAGAGCACAATGACGGGTGCCTCCTCAAGCACCTGTAAGTACTACCTTTATGTCTAGGAGCATAGAATATATGGGCAGCCAGGATACCAGATTTAAATAATCTGTTTGTTTTCTGCCCAGACGATGTTAGGCGACTGACAGTTGGAGCACTTCCAAAGTTTGGGAAGGCATGAAAGTTTTATCAGTTTAATCGTAAGTAAAAATAAACAAAACAATGAGCAACTGTGTTAGAAAGTGTCTTCTTTTGTTCTTAGATCAAAAAACGGTTGTGTACATAAAACTGTGAAGAAAGAATATCTAATCACTGATTCATCTACGCTATCAGTGTTTGACTGACTTCTTCTCCACAGCAACGGCCACTGAAGCTCTTGGGTATGGCATTACTTTGAGGTTATGGCTGTATTTATAATTTTGTTATTGTAAACAAAATCCCATTCACTCAAAACCTTCTGACTGTCTGATGCTCTCGGCCCCAAGCCCATTTGTTTCTCTAAAAACTACTCAAGACTATAAACTTAATTTGAAAAAAGGCTAATACTTTGAAAAATAGCTGAGCACTGTAGTTTTTTTCAGCCGTAGAGTTTGTGCTCTAGCGAGTATGTATGGCAGCAGGACAGTGCATGTGTGATTGGCTCAAAATAAACCACAGTGCCCATGTTTATCATCAGGCAGTGCAACAATGTGGCTTATAGATGTGTTGACAACCATGGAGGTGTATGGCACAGAGAAATAAGATTTATATACTGCAGGATCGAATAATTATTGGCCTTTGTTGACAATCAGAAAAATATATTAACGTTCCATCCATTAAGTAGAGGCACCAAATGTAATTGTCACAAATAAAGTAGCAATCATTTAAACTGCTGGGCACAACAGAAACCTTTAGGATCATTGTTATCCAAAAGACTATTTTGAGGACGAATGAGCGTATTTATTTCTTGTTACTTTAAAGTGAAAGGATTGCATAGTGCAGCTTTAAATTGATACACCAAAGTATTTTATTAATAAATACACAATAAACACCTCGCCCTTTGCCCATCGGCCCACACACATACACAAACACACAAACACACACCGCAAGAGGCCAGGGAAGATGCAGGTGTTAATGAGGGGGAGGAATGGTGAGAGGCGGTTGATCTGCCCTCGGCTGTCTCCCCCCTGAGGTGCTTTATGCTCTGCTGTGAGCACCTCCTTAACCCTGAAACACATGGTCACAGGACAGCACGGTTAACACAGCACAAAGCCTCTTCTGTGCTGCACACGGACAAACACCCGCCTTCCAGTAACACAACAAGAACAACATCCCTGAGTAAAGAGGTTACATAAAGGTTAAACTCAATTACACCGAAGGAGAGAAGACAACAAATACAAACTGCAGACTCGGTGACAGAGATAGGGAAAGTGTGACGACAGTCCAAAGTTATCCCATTTCTCTTCATTCACCCTGCACAGACCTCGTGATAGCCTTCATTTTCTATATCTTTGTTTTTGTCTCTTATCTCCTCTCCTCCTCTGTCTTTCCCTCTCACCAGAACTGAAGGACCTGTTTCATTTTCTGTATCTCTGCCTATCATTTATTTACTCTCCTCTGGCATCTCTAGTCCTCTTCTCCTGATTCTCTTTCCCCTCGGGTACCTGTTGCTTTGACAGACTCTCTCCAGTCTGTTTCTAACAGGACTCGCGTAAACCTTGCACCCACTCACAAAGAGCGCGCAGCACACCCTCCGCACCAGCCAGCCTCGATACCTACGACAGCAAACACACAATGCAGAGGCAGAAAATGAGCAAGGGTGAGTGTGTTGGGATTGAAAAGTCTTCGTATGCGTTTACCTGAATCCTGTAGATACTATCAATACCTGGTGTGCGTCTCGTTGACACTCAGCAAGTTGTGGAAGCCAAGGGAAGAGTTTTGTCCAAGCTTCTTACGCTAAGCCATGATAGAAAAACACAGATGACCTGGGAGTCAACATCAACCCAGAATGAACTCTGCTGCACAAAATCCAATTCACTGTTTAAAAAGGACACATGCACCTGAAGGATGAATGAAATAATCTTCAAATTGACTAAACAAGCTTAGTCATGCAAGGTCAGTATCTGTCAGTGAAATTGTTTGTTTTCTAATAATTTGGACTTACATAAATTAGATTCGTTGGATGGTATCACTATACAGCCTACCACTCACATTTCATTAGGCTAGTTTTCAACCTTTCCTTTCTCTCTCTAACCTTCTCTGGCCTCTGCACTGCACACTCACCTGACTATCTGGGGTGCACTGGTGGCAGCATTGGCCAACAAGTGGTCTGAACTTGCCCAGGCTGGGAGGCACCGTCTTCAGCTTCTTCTTGATCTTTGGTTCCAGTGACAACTGAGAGGGAAGAAAACAGAATTACACAAACAAGGTGTCACATACACAGAGTTTACAACCACAGCCACTAATTTAAATGACACACAGTTGCCATTTCACTTGCACTGACAAATGATAGAAACAGCTTCAATATGATATAATACAATTCAGCAGCACCGCAAACTGCAGCCTCCAAACGGATCATAGAGTCAAAACAGCTTCCTTTGTGAAGGTAACATTATAACCTTCATGGTATTGCAGAACTGTTATTAGACTGCATTCATTTTATCTTGGGTGTACCGAATGTACTGACAACTGAGTGTATGTAGTAATTCATAGGGACTGAACTTGCTCCATCTAATTTTGAACAGGATAAGTCAGAGATGCCCCAGTTGGTTACAAACTCACTACTGACCTAGCCAGTGCATTTACATCCTTCAGTTTAAAGTCTGTTTTCTGCAGTGACCAGATTTCATTATATATACAACAAATCTGGTTTCTGTAATTGAAGTAGAGAATCAGAGAAACACAATTTCCCCAACCAAATTTCTTGTGGAGAATACTGATTTCCTGGCCATGTACAGTATATGCACAACTTGGTTTCTAAGAGTTATTTTTACATGTCAACATGTGCCTGACAAAGAAAGACTGGGACAGGCAAAGAATCACTGTGACAGCAGGGCAGTGGGATCAAAGGAGAGATCATTACTCATAGAAATGTATCCTTATATTCAAATAATTCCACCCACTATAACTAACACAAAGTAGCCTTCAGAAGGCTAATTAAGTCTGCTTTTTTGTAAAATTAAGACACATTTGTGTTGTAAAAAAAAGCTACAGAGCCTGTTCTCTCACTGCACCATTAGCCCTGCAACACATAAAAATAAGGTCAGGGGTAGAAGAAAAATCTGATTACTGACCTACTGCATATTATACGTTTATTATACACGGATTTACAGTAGCCAGGTTTCTATCAGTGCATGTAAACCTGTCCCAGTAACCTTGACTCCTGTGTGCATATAAACTGACAAGTTTATAAAACATGTCAGTATTGATAAAATGTCATATTACTGCCAGCGAGCTACATTTGATTTCACCAGCTCTTCAGAAATATAACAGCACTGGTAAATAAACGGAGAAAAAATAAAAGCCATTTAAATGCTTTGATTCTTTGCTCCTAAATTTGATTTTGAGTTTGTTATGATTTCTGTGTTGCTATGATTGGGTTAACTTTGAAACCATGGTAGCATGCAATAACTTGCAGTGCAGTAAATATTAATACAGCGCCCATATGAGACCCAGTATCAGGCAATCAGTGCACATCAGGCATAAACAGCTCATGCACTGAAGCACAGGCCACACTGTGAACTGTATACTAATCAGCCAGACTTAAGGTCTCTTGAAGCAAGTTGACTGATGGTCAGTTATACAAATATTTGTATTATGATAACAAACAGCAACAATACCCACTAATTATCGTGTAGTGTGTGCATGTGGGCTTTCAATGCCTGAAATTAAGTGTTAGTTAGGATTCATACTGGTTACCCTGTTTAAATACAGGAGCTAATGAATCTCCTAAAATCAATGACACTTTCTCTTGGTTGAATGATGATGATGGATACCAGAAAACAGAGCAAACAGAGCAGCTGAGTGAATCAGTGCCTTGCCAGGAAAAGGTCAATTTAAAGACAAAACACTGCTGCAATGACAAAGTGTAGCTCGAACTGTCAATCATTCAAATGACCATACTACAGGAATGGTATAAACACAAAAGGGATAACAGTAAATGACACAAATATGAAGGGAAAGCAAAATACCAGCGCACATGTTTAATGGATAGTTCGACATTTTGGGCTCATTCACTGAAAAGACTGATACCAGGCTAATTTTTCAAGTCTGTTAACTGGCAACCAATTCCCAATTCTAGCCATGGTGCTGCCATTTTTAATTACGTTTTTCCTACCTTCCCCTTTTTTTTTAGTACATTAGCTAAATCAACTCACAGAGCCTTGAAACTCACTCAAGACAGCTAATGAAACAAATGCTCACATTGGTTTTTGTTCAAGTTAACTAATTTTAGTTTAGATTCATTTTAATAGTGTTAAAATGATCAATTGAATCAGCCAACTGGCACAAAACATTGAATTCATAAACTATGGTGTCTGGAAAGTCAACAGACATTTGTGGTTTTAGGAGGAGTATTGTATTCTTAATATTTCTAAATAAAAGGGTTGGGGCAATTGGACAACATATAGTTTGAACGAGTGAGAGAAAAAACAACGTAGAGCCAGAATAATAATATGTTGGAACAGTAGAATAACTAACCAAGATGGTTTTTGTGAGTGTCAGTTAATGATTAAATACTGCCCATCATGTCAATATCAAGTTTGACAAAAAACAACTGTTTATCAAAATTGTTACTGGCACTTAAAGGTCCAGGGTGCACCTTTACGAGGATCTATTGGCTGTTATCTGCAGCTTCAATGCTAGATGCCACAAAATACTACACACTGGTCCTTTAAGCTGGTCTCAGTTCGAGAGAAACTTGTGGGAAATGAACATTTTAGATTTAGTCAGGCTCAGTAACTCAATGTATTGATTTGGTGATGCCTTTGTGATTCTCTATGTTTAAGTTGTGAGGAAGTCAGGTCAAAATGCACTGACAGTCAACTCAGAGCTACACTGTAACATTAAAGCCCATTGTACTGAGGAAAGGTTATTTGACATATGATTAACACCTGAATGTGTCATTTGTTCTTCTGTTTACCTGATGGTAAAGGCAAAGCACTCTGAAAGCCACTTTAGATAACAACTATGTTGAGGTCCTTTCTTCATGCAGCTTGAAGTAAAGAGACTTGATTCATCACATTGAGTCTGTAATTCTGCATAAAATTACAAACACTCAATAACTCCAGAAAGTGTACAGTTGTTTAGTAAGAAAAACAGCTGTAAGAATATTTCCTTTCTTTACGTTTTCTGAGTTTATTTTGTTTATTCATTTAAACACAGTGAACTTGCCGCTGACACACATCCAGCTGGTGGTGGGGGCGGACACCTAGGCAGATACTAGGTATATCTGCCTAATTGACCTTAATCGCCGGTTGTTGGGCTGATGGTAGCCGGTTGAAAATTTTTAACATATCTCTCAGCCCTACTAGACAAACAAGAGTTTGTTATCCACCCCCGTGGCATATTCACGGTCACAAGACTCCGGAAACTCAGCATGCCAAACTGTTTGTAAAAACAAATAGCAACTCCCCATAAAACCACAAAATGTTGTTTTCACATTTCTGTTTGTGAATAAGCAATTAGCATATTTCCCAAAAGTAGTCAAGTACTGGTTTAAAAAAAAAAAAAAAAAAAAAAACGTCTTAATTTTCTGATGCATCAGTATGACTCACTGATACATCACATCCTGAGATTTGGTAAACACCAAACAGCATTAAGCAACTGGGGTTGTGCATGTTCTCTTGTGATTGTGAAGAACAAAGAGTTTGAGATTACTGCACATGAAGTAAGTGGGAGATGACAGTGGGAGAGAGTCACGCAGCCAGTGTTCTTACAGCAGGTCTATTCTGTTGAATTGGTGGAGGGACCATGTCTTTGTTTATCCCGTCGTTCTTCTCCTGCACCATGTTGAGCCCCCTGCAGGCTTCTACCCAGGGACCTACCGAAGAATAAATTAGAGGAGAGAGTATATTATACGGTGTCATGTTAAAACAGTGCATTCTCACATTGTGTTCTGGTAATAAGGACATTTTGTAAGCATGTGAATGTGAGTTGGCAGTAATTTTTAGGAGCTTTTTTAGGCATTGCTTTGAGAAAAGGCTTCACCTCTCCAATTTAAGAAAATAAACACACATGCACTCACACACACACTCTCTCACACACACACACACACACACACACACACACACACACACACACACACACACACACACACTCTCAGTATGAAACAAAATTCATTTTGTCCTCTGGTCCTTGGCAGGGGAGTGTTGGCAGCACTCACCCATCTATCACCCTGTGCCCATAGCTACAATTTCACCCATCTAACCAGCACTTCTTCCCCTCCACCATAACAAATTCTCTCCAATTCTTAACTTAACCTTCATTCTTTTCAGTTAAGGGAAAGTAGCTTCTTGCTGCTGATTTCCTTGTGTTGCGTTTCTATTGTTTCACGTTATTGAACTTGTGGCAAACTTTAGTTTGAAAGTTTTGTGTTGTGCACTTCTGTATGCAGATAGGAATAAAACAAGGACAGAGCTGCCATTAAGAGGTTAGAGATTGAGAGGAACTCGAGGCTGTCTTTGCTCAGCAACGCACAGGTGCAGCGGGGCAGACACTCACTAGTGGGTTATAAATCATTAAAAGCAAGGTACATAGCCATCAGATGAAAAACAGCTCTTATGTAACTGATGCTGGTCCCTTGCCCACGCGGAAACCCAGTAATGAGAGTTGGCAACATAGGTCACAATGTAATACGATCTAGCTTAAAGAGGTTACCTAATTTATAAGTTGGCTGTGTCTGAGCTCAAATGAGTAATCATCTGAGATCAAGGTAGATTTCATACAGATCAACAGCCAGTGCAAACTCACCAAAGAGAGAGCTACCTCAGTATAAACGCCACCATCCTGAGAGAGCCTCCCTTTAGTTTTATGTAAGGCTTTGCTTCTACTACAAACGGATGAAGACGTGGATTGCTGTCATCCATTGGCACAAACGCTCTTCTAATACATCTTTCTGTGGTTACACCCATCAGATTCAGGAGTGTCATTAAGCTCAATGGGAGACTTTTCCTTTCGCTGTCTCCCACTCTGTTGATCCCACTCTGCCCCATTAACTTTGCTAATTAAAACTTAAGCCTTCCCCATGGGGAGATGCTCCATTTCAACAGGCTCACGTTCCCACATTCATTACCAACTCCAGTGGGAACAAAAACATTGATAAGATGTTCCCATGGCCCGGTGATGCTTCGCAGGTGCAGAGGGTGATGGAGGACACACGGCAGCAAAACAAGCAGTAAAGGGTGTAAAAGTGTAAATTACAGAGCCAGAGAATCAGAATCAGAATCAAAGGCTCTAATGGGGTTATATAAGCCACTCCAGAGGGAATATAAGTAGAGACAGCAGTGTGCCAAGGCCAGACCTGTGTAAGAGTCAACATACAACATGAATTCACACACTGATATATAGAAACATGACAGGCGTTCAAATCTGTACCTCCTCACACTTATGCTTGCTTAGTTCATCCCCTACCCGGAACTTAATTGATCAATTACAGTCTTTAATTAATATGCTGTAGTTTTCTAATGTGATAGCCCAGACGTAAGTAGGCCTGTGATGAGAAAGGATGAAAAATCAGAAGCCATTACGAGCTGCCAGGTCAGATTAGATTGCAGATCATTTTAGAGCAGCAGTCGAAGTGATGTTGGTGCGTTCAGGTCTATTCCCAAAGCCACTCAGTGATTAGTGTGGGCTTTAAATACACTTAGCGTCTGTTTGCAACGGAGACAGACATGGAGAATTAAGAATCTCAATCAGATCAGATGTTTGTCAATATACATATATTTTTTCCTTTTTATCCTCGCACATACAGCATCTGTATGTAGGTATAGATGTGACGTACTGCTCCAAAAACAAAACAAAACTAAAAACTAAAAAAGATCATTCTGACTTTTCTCATTGAAGTCTAAGTCTAAGACATAACATTGTATACGATGGGAAGGCAACAGAGGAATCATACACTGTATGTTTATGCCACACGAATTTAGACAAAAATAACTGAAAATACTGAAGAGCAGCACTGACATTGTTAACCTGACAATAAACCAAATGTAAAGTTCGAATGGTGACAGAGTATAACACTAATAATAGACCGGCTTATACATCGCATACAGTAAATTCAATTAAACAGCCACATGAATGGTAAACCAAGGTCTGCATTTCACTATGTATGTACTTGATAAAGAGGATGGTTAGCTACATGTTACCTAGTTACAACTTTTAAAAATATGTTTAAAAAAATAAAGCATCACTGCCAATTCACAATTTATTTGGAAAAACCTACCTGCCGCTGAGCTCCACCAAATTCCCACAGTGGAGCCGTTGCAACTCCTCCTGCACTAATAACTTGTTTACCAATTCAGTTTGTTTTGTATGCAGTCCTGGCTGAAATTCAAGCTGCATACAAATGAGCTTTTTTTTCTCCTTACTAGGAATAAGTTCCTTGGAAATTTTATAAAGGAACAATCAGCCAACAGACTACATGTGTCTTTCCCTCTTTTCATAGTCTTTGAAATGTTGAATGTCAGCAAGTCGTTCTTTCTCAGCTGCAGCAAGCCAACTAGCCTGATGACCTGTCAATTAAACATCAAAGGCAATGGCCAGGAAACAGGAATAATCCATATTTGGACATTTTGGACAACCCAGCATCTCCATAATAGTAATATTATTGTAAAAACAACACATGGGAGCAATTAACAGTAATTATTGTTTTTTCTATGAACTGATGGTAAGACCACAGCAATTAACACCCAATAAATAATAAATTGACAATTCTGAGTTTCTCTATCTTCATACAGTATCTGAAATGAATGGGGGTGTATGGGGCATGTGTGGGTGTGTCCCACATATTAAAAAGGCAGAGTCCTTTTGCTGCATGTCCCCCCCTTCCCCACCTTCCTGTCCCTCTACAAAATAACCTTAAAATAAAAAAGAATAGGAGTGTATGATATAATTAGATTACGCTCATGCATCTCGACCTATGTGAGCGTTGGCAAACACAAAGGAACTCTAAAAAGCAGTGTTGATAAGATGATTGCATCTGCAGCGAAAATCACTATTACAGGACAGCTCACTGCTGAAAAATAGACACACAATCGCATTGCAATAAAATGATTAACATCAATATGAGCCAAATGACTGTGGAAATTACAAGTTATCACATCACCGTTAAAAACTAACCAGGAATAAAAAGGGCTCCATTGTTAAGAGGGACTGTTGCGTTAATCATAAATCCTATATATCACCACAGGTCAACTGAGCGGTTGACCTTTTTTTTGACAATAATCACTCACTTAGTTACATTATGTGGTGTAAAAACATGGAGAGTCAATCTGTGGCCACAATAACTGTGACAAATGTTTGCTGTTGGCAGAGAATTCCTCCTCCTGTTGAAAAGAATATTCAAATCTCACTGTTGCTTTAACAAGGAAGAGATAAATGGGAAAACCCAGTGGCACATAGTGTATTGGTGATAGCGTTAACAGCGTGTCTTTGACATGATTATGAGCTTTCTTAAACAAACCAATGGAAAGAATTCTGCTGAGCAGGACAATAGATAACACCACAGGGACATCAACATGATGGGCTTTTATTTTCAGTCTGCAAGTAAAGCAGGCTATTCGAAAAAAGAATGTTGATATGGTAAACACACACACACAGCTATGCACCTGAATGCGTCCACTGTCTCTGTTTCACTGCACACACACATAGAAAATCAATCTGTGAATCAGTAGCTGTGCATCATGGAGCCAGAGAGCATCATTGATTTCCCAGAACAAAAGGAATTCTTTACAGTTTCCGTCTGCCCTCTTCCTCCCTTTAGCTGCACACTGTTTTATTTTAATGTCCATGCTTGTAGAAAACCCTTATATAAACACCCTAGCAGCAAACAATCAAACTAAAAGGTTTTCTGGTAAGGAATTCTGACTTACTGTACTACTATCTGATTAGATATGAGATTTTCATATGTCTGGGTAAGCACTGGGTAGTGCTGTCAGTTTAATGCGTTAAAGCAAACCCATTTTAACGGTGTAAATTTTTTTATCACAAGGTTAACGCCTAGCACATTTTGTAGTTTTTTCACATGCTGTTGCAACTAGTAACGTTAGAAAAACTACAACACCACACCGGATCTAGCTAGACCGGAAACAAAACAAAAGGCACGCCGCACACACTTGTTTAGGAGTAGTAGAGGTTACGTTTTGAGTGGATGGCGAGCGCGAGACGCCGTAATGGATGGATTCCTTGTCTGAAAATGTCAACAGGTTTGTCTGTTTGAGTAACTGGCTCAAAGCAAAGAAGTAGTAGGCGTTACAGTTCATTCTTTCTGAAATAAGAGGCTGGGTTGAGCTTCTGGTGAATAAAGAGCAGTAGCCTGACTGCTATGTTCAAAGCAAACTTGAGAAAAGTATTAAGCCATGGTTTAACTGCACTATAGGCTAAGTCCTAGTTTACCTTACATGTGCACTTTGTAATTTTATTTTGTATCGCCCTGTTTTGATCCCTTAGAAAGGGGCTGTTGAAGGGGCTGTTTGTGTGACAAAGTATTTTTTCACCCTTTTATTGATGGACAGTGTTGCATTGTGTGAGAGATTATTTGCTCCAAGTGAGAATGTTAGTGTGAAATTGAACACTATAGTATATGCTAATGTTGTTTCAACATTTGCACAAAGCAAGCCGATCCTCTTTTCCATGTTGATAAGAGCATTAAAATGAGAAAAAATAATGGGACAAAAAGAAATCAAGGGACATTTAGAATAGATAGAAATGTGCGATTAATTGCGAGTTAACTATGACATTAATGCGATTAATCGCGATTAAATATTTTAATCGTTTGACAGCACAACTTATGATATTTTATATTATATATTATATTATATTTTA